AAGAGAAAGAAGAGGAGATCCGTAGCGATTGTGGCTCAAGTCCGCAGTGTTTCGCTCAGGACGAGGAGCTCTTTGGCGGGGGGAGAAGTGGCCCCATTTGCTCCCGCGCAACCCGTGACCGAACCTCGTTCGGCCCGCCTCTTTTCCAACCATTACTCCAGGCCCTAATAGACGTTTTGGTTTGGGTTTTGCTGATGCGGAGATGGCACAGAGGTATCGGCAATATTGGGCGTGCAACTCTTGCGTTCACCATTTTGGGAAGCCTCTCCGGCATCTCGCGTCGAGCACTCACTGTCGAGGATGTCGCCTCCATAAAGGATCGCGTCTCCTTCGGAATCGCGAGGTCGACCGTGCTCCCTCGGTCTCGCTCGTTCCCTGGGGCGACAGAAAGCCGCCGTGGGTTGAGGGCCCTGGGGGCCCCGAGGCGAATCGCGAGCTCAAGTGGGCCCGGGCTCGCGTCTCCGCCCTGGAAGCGTAGCTCGAGGCTCAAAAGGCTGGGGCCGTGCAGAATGGTGGTTGGCAATGGCGTTGATGGTGGTCCTGGGGGCGCTGTTGACGAAGCAGAACGCGCCGAGGCGCGCCTGGCCGTCGTCTCCTAAGAGATGGCTGGCTTGGAGAAGCCTTGGACCGACATCTTCCCCACATTGCATCCGCTCGTGCATTTGAGCCGCCCGTGGGGAAAATAGCGATTCCAGAAGGCCCCGCAGGAAAGTAAGCCGCCAGCGGCGCAGACGCAGGCGCTGCATCGCCGAATCATCGAGGCGCAACAGGCGCAGGAGCACACGGAGTTTACACGTGAAGCTACATCGCAGAAACCCGAGCAGACGCGGCAGCACGCGGAGAAAGACATGTTCGCGCTGGACGAGGTGGCCCCACGCGCCACTTCGTTGCAGGCCGAGCCGTTCGAACTGCAGAGGCGGAGCCGACCCGCGCAAGGAGATGGCGCTGAAGGCGGCGCGCGGGCTGCCGTCATCCCCGAGCTGGCAGTTGACGCGGGAGTTTCGGGTGCTCTTCTGGCGGAACTTCGTGGAGAGTTGGGTGGTGCGTTGGTTCGGCCGGTTAAGACTAGGGCCAATGAGTTCCCTTCAAGCAGGCGGCAGTCGTGGGGGCATGTTCTGCGGCTGCTGAAGAGGGGGAACAAGACCCAGCACGGGGCGTGTAGGCGTGGATTTGGAGCAGTTCCGCAAGGACATCGCGGAAGTCTGCAATCCTGCCGACACCCCAGATGATGATGAAATCACATGGAGGGAGTTGGGCCAGACGCTTCGTGCGCATTGTTTCCGCCCTTGTTCTGCCGTCGGCCCCCGCTAGCGCCGCGGCGGCTGCTCAGGGGGATCAATGGAACGCGCGACGCCCCTCGCAGGATTGAGAAGTTGAAGTTGTGGAAAAGCTGTGGTATCATTCTCTCGGCTGTGCCTGTGTTATCTGTGGTGCCTGAATGGATTTGTGAGCTCCTTCCCGATACTGGCGCAGAGTATGGCGCTCCACGCATGGCCTGGGGCGCGCATTCCCCAGGGGCGAGGCCAAGTGCAGCGACTGCTGGCAGTTCAGGCTCAGAGCATGGCACTTCTCGCATGGCCTGGGGCGCGCGTTCCCCAGGGGCGAGGACAAGTGCATTGACTGGCGGCAGTTCTGCATCTGGGTGGTCTTCGACTTCGGGCGCCACGGCTGATGCTGCGCGCCCTCCAGATTCGGAGATGGTTGATGGGGCTCATCTGGGGCAACCAGTTCTCGTAGCGATGGGCAGGGTGCCGCCAGAATTTCAGACGAGAAGCGAGCACCCCGACTTGTACGAGGACCTCGCAAGCTGGGCGGCGAGATGAGCTCGCAACGTCGAGGGCGGCTTGGAGGGCAACCGCTACGTGACTGGACTATAGTACGAGCCGTAACTTCAGAAGCCACTTGAGTTACCTCGCAACGGGCATGTTCGACGCGAACTCATGGGCCTGTTTAGTAGACGCACTGGCAGAGAATGCGAGATTGGAGAGGCGATCCGATATCTACGCGAGCGCGCGCATCACAAGGCGCAACCGAGGCGCAGGGCTCTCTTTAGAGACACTGGGAGTTTGGCGGGCAGCGCTCGCAGAGCGACGCTGGATGATCATTGGTGTGCTTTGGCGGAGCTGAAGCACATGTTTGGCGAGGTGCCCCGAGATCGATCTCCAGATTCTGATGGCCCGAGACCTCGAGGATAGCACTACGAGGATGAAGATAACAGTGGCAATCGCAGGCAGGGCCACATCAACTGCGACAAGGTGAAGGTGGCGCCTGTGAAAAGGGCTGCTAATATCACATCACAGTCGATAATACAGGAGTCTGTAGAGGCATGGTCTTTGGACCCTATCCCCTCGGTCGTCTTGCTCCAGGAGCTCCGCGCGGACGAGGATCGCAACCCTGATCTTCAGAAGCAGGCTAAGGGCCATGGCTATCGCGGACTTCGGTGCCCGCCGACAGGAGGCAGCGGAGGTCTGGCGATCCCGCGCAAGACCAGCATCGCAATCGCGAAGCCGCCCCGTGCATGAGAGCTGGATTTTGGAAGCTGGCCGTATTATCGCGGCTCGCACATTCTGGGGGCCAAAGGGCGTCGTCGTTGACATCGCAGTATATATGGCAAGTGCGGTCGGCATGAATGCTGACAGCGTAATTGCCTCAGATCCTAGAAGTTTATCTCGCCGAGCTCAGCATTGCTGGATACGACTGGATAGTGGACAGCCGCTGCAATATCGCGAGGGCCGCGCTGGCCGCTGAGGACCCTGCTTGGATTGAAGGATTCAAATGGCTTTTCCTCGTGCCGAAAAAAACGGCTTGCAGGCCGCCCGATAGGAAGGGGCCCACGATATATGATTTCTTAGTTTGCGAGAATGTTGGGCGTGACTGATGCGCCGGCGGTGGATGGGGCGCGCCCAATTCGCGCGCATCGGCCAGTGGCGCTCCCATTCTTTCCTGAGGGAGTTCAAGCTGAATGCGCGGTAATGGACGCGCCGCGTGGGTTATTTGTTCGGCGCGCTGGGCAAGGGATGAACAACTATTGAGGAGGCTGCAGACGCGGGTGCGCACGCATAGGCTGGGGGCCAGGCGCCTGCTACCACGGAGCAAGAGTTGATGGAGAGATGCGACGCATTGGGTGCCGGGCGGCTGGCGCATGATGGAATATTGGGAACTGCCAGAGCTAAGGCGATCAAGGCGGGATGGGCCCCACCTGCAAACAGGCGAAGATTGGGGCCACACTTGCGAGCGTGTTTGGCGGCGTCGAGATGGGCTAGGCACTTAACGGCGATGAGGGCGACGGCGCGTAGCACGTTGCAGCAGTTGGGCGGCACGTGCAGCATGCGAGTTAACGAATGATCAACGCAGACACTTCGTTGACATCTCGGTCGGACTGCAGCGTTTCTTCTCGGGAGCTCGCCGACGCAGAGGCGCGCTGAGATACCTCGACGAGTGGGTCGCCAAGTTCGCCGCGATGGGTCCCGAGGTGTTTCTTGTCGATGTCTTCACGCAGGATGCCAATGAGATAGCGGGAAAGGCTGATACTTTGTATCAGAAGAAAGTGCAGGAAGGTTTTGAAGGCTAGAAGCAGTGGGCACAGGACTCCTTTTCAAAAAAGCGCTTGTAGGGCACGCCGCTACACGTGCGCAGGCGATGCAAGAGAGGCCGGAACCACGACGGCCTGATGCAGAAGCACCGACCCCAAGGGGGCTGGCGGAGGAGGCCGTGGACCATCGGGAGTGGATCCGGAACCGACATCAGCTAGAGCCCCTGGAAATTCCTGGAGACGCACATAGTTGGCCAGAGCTACCGCAGATCACGGCGCGCATGATGATTGACGCGGTTTCGACCTTTCTTGATCATGCGACAGTTGGACAAATTTGCATAGCGCCGAACACCTCATTGCAGTTGTCTTTCGTGGGATTGCGCACAATGGCGAGACTTGATATGACGTGCGAACAGTTGCTTGCTGGACCGTCGGCAAGCATATGGAACTTCATTCTTCGCCTACCAAAACCTGGAGGAGAATGTCGTTTGATTGTTTTGATGAATGCCCTGGTGTCACGGCCACATTTGATTTGGTTACGCGATGCGCTGGGTCGGTCTGGGATCAGAGATGTTCCTTGGGCAAACTTGAGAGGGCCTGGCAATCTATGTCGGGCCGATTCAGAGCGCGGCCAGGAGGTCTCATCACATGGTCAATGAACAGGGGGCCAGTTGCTGGAGCTTGATGCAGTCTCAATCGGATTGGCTGGAACATGCATCGATCTGGGGGGCCATATATATTTGCTTCCACGTGCCCACAGGATGTGCAGAGGTTACTTCGACGGCAGTGAACGATGACATCACAAGAAGATATTATGCCACCACGACGTCGGCACCAGCATTGACGCGCCGTTATGACGTAGGGCCATGAGGTTTATTGTGGCAGGACCCCAGGCGGCGATCGGCAAGGCTAGCCAAGCTCGGGCGCTGTGGAGTGGTGCGTCGTGGACGCCGTCACAGAAGCCTCCCATGGGCCTTGCCTGAGAAGAATTTTGTCGCGCGTGGATGGAGCCCCTTGATGCGCCAGGGCATCGCTCTCACGTGCGCCCTGGGGTTATGAACGGGGCCGACCAGAGCGAGGAATCAGAGCTGCCTGAGAAGTTCATTGAAGTGCAGAAGTGGCTCGCAGACAAATGGGGTACCATAATGGCCTGGGCGCGCCTGGCTGCGAGGCGCTGAAGCTATCGGTGGGACTGCCTGCGCTACCGCCGCCTGCTGACCCCCCTGCTACTCAAGCGCAAGTGTTCCTCTAGGGTGTCTGGGCGCCAGGCCCGTCGGGATGGTCGGATATTATCATCACTGTCGGATCTGGGCATGAGTCTTCTGTTCGTGAATTATGCAAATGGGGATGGTCAGCGATGGAATTATCTGAACAAGGTTTGCCGTTGCGCGCAGCGCATGGGCCGCTCCCAGAGGCGCGGCGGACAGTTTGCCGAGCTGAGAGATACGCGGCGCTTCAAGGGCTGAGGATGTACCCGCGCGCGAGATTGGTCGTATCCGATTTGGCTGGTCTAGTCCGGGAGGCGAGCAGCTGGGCGGCTCAGCTCAGTTGGAGGCCTCGGTTGGCAAACGCAGATATTGTGAAGGAGATAGTTTGCGCGTTGATGGAGGTGCCGCCTGCAGTTTCTTGGGCGCCGGCGCATAAGGACGTCGACGAGTGCCTGCACATGGTTTTCATTATTTATGGTGGCATGGCAATTGGTAGGGCAGATTACTTTGCAAAGGAAGAGGCGCTCAAACATCGGGCGTCGAGAGTCTCAGCGGACATTTACTATTCTGAGTTGAGGCACCACCAGAAGGTGAACCAGCACTTTTCCCACGTCATGGAATACATGGTCATGGGAGGTGCTTGGGAGGGCCCTGATCTACCGAAGCCACGGAAGTTTGGGGCGCCAGTGCAGCCGGCCATGCAGGATCATCGTCTCGTGGGGCTCAAGGACGGCCACATGCAATGCGCGCGGCGTGGCAAGGGCGCGAGGTGACAGAAGGTCAGGGCCAACCATCAGTCGACCACATGCGTGCCGACGGAGCCCGGGCGATTCAAGTGTCAAGCCCAGGTCGACTACGTCGGCGAGGTAGATATCTCCGCTGGGCAGTTCGAGGCGGTCGCCCATGCATCGCTGGGAGCAGATCGAGTGCCGGGGGAAAGACTTGCGATCGTGGAGGGCGTGTTCGAGGAGAAGAGCTCGCACTGTCTTTTCAACGCGGGTCTGAACACAGTGTGTTTTTTTTCTTGGCGAAGCCTCTTCGCGCTCGCCAGGTCTATTGCAGCGGCGCGTTGGAGGCCAGCGGTTGCGTGCCACCACTGCCTGCGGCAAACAGAACAGAAGGAAGCTGGGGCGTCTCCTCGATGGTCGGCGCCTACTTTCGGGAGCAGTGCTGAAGCCCGTTGAGGCCAGTTCGGCGAGCTGATCGAGTGGATGCTTTTCTCAGATGGCCACGCTCCCTTCGTTGCAGCGGACGTGCGTGAGCACTCTCCTTGCGGACGGATGGCGTCAGCCCGCGTGGCCGCTGAGGGGGCGTTGGGGCCCTTTTACTCGCGCGAGGTCAAGCACCTGAACTGTTTCCGTTTCGGCCGCACCCCCTTCATTCCAGCGGAAGAGCGAAAGCTCTCTTCTGGTGGCTGACGGTGTCAGCGCATTTGGCCGCTGAGGGGGTGTTGGGGCCGTGCATTTACCTGCGCGGTCGCGGACGTGTCGGCCTTTTCTTCTGGCCACGCCTCTTTCGCTGCAGCGGATGAGCCAAAGCTCTCTTCTGGTGGCTGATGGCGTCAGCACGCTTGGTCGCTGAGTGGGTGTTGGGGCCTTCATATTCCCAGCAGGTCGCGTACCTAAGCGGCCTCGCAGCACTGGTTTCTGAGTATTGATGATATCTGGAAATTGTCAGGATATTAGGTTTTCGGTTGTTTCATGTTTTCTACTTCGACCAATTGTACTGGGTGTTCGCGCCCTGAGGGCCGTGGCTGGCGGCCAGGGGCCCGTCCTCGGGCTCGTTCCGATGCGCTCGCGGAGGAGGAGGAGGAGGAGGAGGAGGAGGAGGAGGAGGAGGAGGAAGGAGATGGAGATGAGGAGGAGGCGGAGGAGGAAGAGGGAGAGGAGGAGGAGGGAGTGGGGAGGAGGAGGAGGACGAGGAGGAGGACGAGGAGGAGGAGGAGGAGGGAGAGGGAGTGGAGAGGGAAAAGGAAGAGGAAAACAACGAGGAGGAGGAGGAGGAGGAGGAGGAGCAGGCAGGAGGAGCAGGCAGGAGGAGCAGGCAGGAGGAGAAGGAGGAGGCACAAGTAGGCGGGAGAAGGGAGGGGGCCGGAGGATCTCCCCAGGCAAGTTGAACAGGATCTCGTGCGGAGTCCTACCGTCGGAGTAATTCAGTATCGCTTTCTTGGAAGTCCCGACCCGTTCCATGGGGCCAGATCTTCGTTCCGAGTTGTTGTTTGACGGCCCCAGGCCCAGGCGAGGGCCCGGGAGACCGAAAATTGTCAGAACCACCCGCCTTGTTTTTTGGCACGGCGCGAGCGTTGGCCCCTTGTTCGAGCGCTGTTCGAAGCCGAAGACGGCCGAATACCGTCCGAATGCCGCCGACGACGTTTCAGGAGCGATGGGTGCCAAGGACTCCATGGTCGAACCAGGGATCGAGAATTGAGAATCGAATGCGGACCGAGGATGGAGGATGGGGGACCGACCGAGGATCGACGATCGATCGATCGAGGAGTGAGGACCCAGACCCCCGACGCAACTTGTTTCACAACGTCGACCCCCTGAGGTTTCGACCCATGCCCCAGAATCCGCATTTCATCCTGAGTTGTATGGCGACGGTCCCGAGGCCCGGTAAAAGGGCCTCTGCAGGCACACAAATAACAACAATTTCTTGCCCCTTTTGTGTCACTACGCGAGCGGGCGTGGGGATCGCGGGTGGGTAGGCGATCGATCGATCGAGGCCACGTCCGCACCCGTTCCGGGCGCCCAGCTCAGGAGGACCCCGCCGCCGCCCCACGCCCCGGCGAAGCCCCGTCCGCGGAGCGCGGGGCGGCCGAGCGGGTCCGGCCGCCCGCGGCGGCAGAAACCGCCGCCGCGGCGGCCGGCAGCGCTTCGCTGGCGGTCGGGGCTCGACGAAGCCCGCAGGGATCGGCGGAGGCGACGATAGGAACAAATATCGGAGGAGGAGGAGGAGGAGGTATCCATTCGTACTGCGACTCTTCCCTCGTTGTCGCCAATCTTGGGCATCCTGGGAGGCCTTCGTCGCCACCGCTGGATTCGCTTCAAAATTATGATCAGAACGCACCCCAGGAGAGGTCCGGGGAGTAGCGGTATCGATGCCTTCGGCTTCCCCGGAATCGCCCAGGGCACGTGGGAACAATACAGGAATCCCGGGGCGCCGATGGGTATGTTTTCGGCGAGGTTCCTTGGTGAATGCGTGTAATGCCCGCCCCTGGGCTAATCACCTCCCTCGTCGCCTCCGAGTTCAGCGCGGGGGACGCTCTGGGAGTAAATCGGCGGCGAAGTCCGAGCCCTACCCTCCCCGATCATCGATCCGGCGGCGGTTGTAGAGTTGGGAATGTTTCTCGATGCCTACCAGATGAGGTCCGAGCAGACGGGGGCTGAGGACCGCTCCGCATTGCCGATGCATCGGCGATGCGGCTCGATGCGGATTCCGTTTATCTTCACGTCGACGTCGCCGATGAATCGCCGACGTCGACGATGCATCGCCAGCGCCGACGTCGACGATGCATCGCCGACGTCGGGATGCTAAGGTCGGTGAATGGCGCGGGGGACACTGAGGCTAAGGTCGGCTATCAGAGCCCCGAATCATCAGGGGTAACTCGGGTCAGGGCTAACTCGGGTTCCTTGTTCGGGAATCCAAACCCGAGTTACCCCGGACCCGAGTTACCCCGGATAACTCGGGCGTTCAGAGCCCCGAATCATCAGGGGTAACTCGGGTCAGGGCTAACTCGGGTTCCTTTTCCGGGAATCCAAACCCGAGTTACCCCGGACCCGAGTTACCCCGGATAACTCGGGCGACCAAGGCTGCGCGTAAGAATGGCCCTTCGCCAGAATGACCTCCGAGGCGGGTGCACAGGCCCCCCCCCCCAGCACTGGCCTGCGCGCTTGGCTTTGCCACCCGCCCCCGCGGGCTCCTACACCCTCGGCGATGCTTAAGAAAACTTACGTTTTCGGCCAGAGTCTCGATTATTCTTAATGTTTCAATGCAAATCCTAAGATTTAAATGGAATTCCTGTTTTTATATCAAATTCTGAGACTATGAATTTCTTAACCCATGATTTCTTAAGCATTTCGCAGGGTGTAGAGCCGCGCACCAAAGGTTACTCTTGCCCAGGGTCCTTCCTGCGTGTGGCCAATAATGAAATAATTCGGCGACGCTATCCGAACCCTAGCCTCGCCGATCGACGATCATGTTGCGGGCGTAGAGTTCAGAGTTCGTCGAACGCGTGGCGGGGGATGCTAAGAGTGTAATGTTCCAGGCATCGCCGATGCATCGGCGATGCGGCTCGATGTGGACCCCGTTTCGCTTCCCGTCGACGTCGCCGATGCATCGCCGGCGTCGACGATGCGCCGAAGCATCGTTAATGCTAAGCGGATAACTCGGCGGCGCAGTCCGAACCCTCCCCTCGTCGATCAACGATTCGTCGGCTCGTGATGTCGAGCACGGCGTGAATTCCGAAAACTCCCCCGTGCTCCCATCAATTCGGGAGAATCGAGGGATGGTGGTGGCAGGGTTCGGATGTTGTTATTTCATAATGTTGGCCCCAGAACTCTGAAGGGAGGACAACCCACCACTCCTCTCTCAGGGGGGGCAGCGTTCCCGGCGGCCAAGATGTATAGTTATTCCCTCGGTATTGCGATTCGAGCCGGCGCTTCAATGTCTGTTTGTTTATGTTTCGCGGGTTGTCAAGAGAGTCGCGTCTCCTGCCATTTTGGGCCGTCGAACATGTATTATCCTTGGCCCCAGAAGTTGTTGATTAATCTTGGGCTCACATTAGGGGGGACATCAGTGCATGCCAAGGTAGGTTCTAACCTCAGGAAGGCATTAAGAACCCCCCCCCCTTTTCCGGTGGATTATAACGCCCCCGCACCCTGGAGCGTTATGGCCGCACCGGAAGACCTGGCTGAGGGGACTCGGGGCCTAGCTGAGGCCTGCCAAGCGCAGATTTGCTCCTGCCAAGCAGTTTAGCAGGGCCAAGCAGGGCTTAGCAAGGCTTAGCAGGGCATAGCAGGGCTTAGCAGGGCTTAGCAGGGCTTTGCAGGGCTTTGCAGGGCTTTGCAGGGCCAAGCATAGCTTAGCAGGGCGTAGCAGGGCTTAGCAGGGCTTAGTAGGGCTTACCAGGGCTTAGCAAGGCTTCCCAGGGCTTCGCAAGGCTTAGCAAGGCTTAGCAGGGCTTAGCAGGTGGATTTTGTTTTCTGTGTGCGGCGGGTGCTAAGTGTATCGTTCGGCTAAAACTGCCCGCCTGGAATATTGAGAAAACCGGGTGCTAAGAATAACCCAGGGGGGGTTCTTAATGCCTTCCTGAGGTTACCTGGCGCAGCCTGGCTCAGAAGTGGGTCACAAGTTTCCCAAGAGGCCTAGGGGAGGTAGATAGCTCTCAGAAGCGGGGGCAGCCCGCTTCACGCCGATCCGAGCAGGACCTCCTCTCCCAGGCCCCCTCGCGTCGGGACAAACACGCATCATATTGATTTTGCTATTTCCGGCTCCTCGGGGCCGTCGCAACGCCCTGAGAACGTCAAAGAACGATTCGAGGTGAACAACCTGTCCCGGGGAATGGGCCGCGACATCTGGGGGTCGACGTTGTGCCAGAAACATGACGTCGTCGTCATGGGTCTGGGTCTGGTCATGGACGAAAGCAAATCACGGCGGGAGATGTTTGGGCCGCGTTCGGCGTCTGGATGCCTTCATAGGCTCCCGGGGTCGGCCGCAGATGGCTCTGGGTGATAGGCGGCCCCAGGGAAGTGGTCGAGACATCGAGGGGCCCACGCTGCAACACGAGTCACGACGTCGGAGGTCCGGAGGGCCAGGCACGTCGACCCTCAGTCGACCACTGCCCCGCCCTGGCTGGGAGCGTGTGGCTTGAAATCCGGGGGCACGTATCGCCGATCATGTCGGCGACGTTCCGTCGATTCCAGGTCGTTGCGTCCCCGCTGAGCGAGCCCATACGTTTTTAGTCGCAGCGGCGAGGATTGGCGCCGCGTTCGAAGGGGGGCACTGAGCCAGCTCAGAGCATGAGTTCTTGAACGTGCGTGCCGGAGTACAAGCGTGCACAGCAGGGAGACATGAGTAAGCCCATGCATCCGATGTCCTGTTTTTCTCGGTGCGGGCCAGCTTCCCACCCCGAGCCGTCCCTGTTGATGGCACCCCCCCGAGCCCTCCGCCAGCCCCAGTGGAGGCCGAAAGCGATTCAAACAAAATCCGCCTCTACGTTCGAAGACGTCGGATGGAGTCCCCCCCCCCGCCTGGCGCTCCGACGTTGACCCCCAGAGGCCGCGACCCATCCCCCAGGACAGCTATCCCACCCCGAGTCGCTGTTCCCCGATAGTTCCCAGAGAGCCAAGAGGGCCTCAGAGAGGAAGCCAGCAGGCAAGGGTCGACCAGTTTTTTCGCCACGGCTACTGGTCAGGCATCCCCGGGAAGCGTTGTTTTCCTATTCGTTCCCAAGCCTCACCGCAAGGCTTTCGGCCGCGCCTCCAAATCTTCTGTAGGTTTGTGCGCAACTCCTATAGGCAGCCCCTACAGTAGCGCCTAGGCAGCTCTGGGCAGGGCTTCCGAGGCATGGTTTCAAGGCATCCTTGCAAGCTGCCAGGGCTTCCCTGCAAGCTCCCTTGCAAGCGTCTCTCACAAGTTCGCAAGCTTCCCAGCAACTGTTCTGGGATAGCTCCTTGGAGAGCGAGGAGGGCTTCTGCTTGGAAGCCAGCAGGCAAGAGAAGGCCAGTTTCCTCCCCCTGGTTGCCGGGCAGGCAACCCCGCAGTGCCCTGCTGGGGCCTCTGGCTTGTTTGGGAAGCGTTTTCCCACTCGTTTCCATAGCGTGTTCTGCAAGCCTTTTCCGAAGCTCCTTGGCAGCCCTTCCCAAGCTCGCGCGCAGTTCCTATTTCAAGCTTGCAAGCGTCGTGGGCATCCTCTCAAGTTTCCCGGCAAGCGCATCCCACAAAGCGTTCAGGCCGTTCGGATTGCTGCTGCTTCGGGGCGCAAGGTTGCTCCGAGCGAGAGCGAGAGAGAGAGAGAGAGCGAGACAGAGAGAGAGAATCTAACACAGCGCCTGTCGTGTTCCCCCCCCGTCGGGCGAAGAGACCCATGCACATGCACCGATCCTGGCAAGGCCCATCCTTGACCCAGGATCGGTGCATATGCCTTCCTGGCCAAGGTAGGAGGGCGTATGCACCGATCCTGGGCTCAGGATGGGCCTGGCCAGAATCGGTGTATGTGCATAGTTCTTTTTCCTCTACCCCGACGCGAGCGGGTTTGGGTTCTCGCCTCCCTGTCGAAGGCGGGCCTGGGCGGGCTGCCCTCGGTAGCCTTCGGCGCCTGGCCCGGAAGCCCCGCGGGGCTGCCGCCGGGGGCGCCCCGCTGCGGGCCGGCGGCGGGGGTATGCACGGGCGGCGAACGTAACCGTCGCCGCACCCTCGTGGTCTGGATTCTCGGGTCGGGCGAAAGGGGGGGATTGGGAAAGGGGGGGTTACGAAATTTGCTGCATGCAGCTGGTTTCGGCCTCACCGAGGGGCCAATTCCTCGATACATGGCCGCTCCCGGCGCCGGGAGGCGCCGGGAAAATCAGCTACGTGAGCTGATTCTCTAACCCCCCCTTTGCTATCCCCCCCTTTCGCCCGACCCGAGTCTGGATTCTGGGGTGCGACCCCGCAGATATTCAATGAGGCAACAGTTGAGTAGAGGCACCAATCTTCGGAGCAGTGTGCGCTGGGCCTCCCCTGGCGACGCCATTGGCGCCGCCCCTGGCGCGCTCCGCGCGCCAGGGAGGGGGGTCTGGGTCCAGCGCCGATCCAAGAAATCTGTGCGGAGTTTCGCGCCACATCACCGATGCATCGGCGATGCGGTTCGATGTGGAGCCCGAAGTTCTCCACGCTGGCGTCGCCGATGATCTGCCGACGTCGCCGATGCATCGGTGATGCATCGGCAATGCATCGATGATCCACTGGGAGGTCTCTAGATACGCGGCCCCAAGGATACGTTCAACGCAGGGCATGCGCGAGCAAAACAACGGCCTGTATCCGCGGTGTCGCGGCCCAAGGGCCTGGCCTGCGAGGCCGCGGATACGTATATATATATATATATATATGTGTTGCCCGCGAGGTGTGGGCCGCACCCCCGAGGGCGCCGAAGCCGCTGATGAGCCCCAACGAGAAGAGGGACCTGGACATGATGTTCCGGCACCAGGACCTCCCCAGAGATCTGGGTGCTGCAATGTCTTTGCGCCGCGGCGTGGTCGCCCGGCTCCGGGCCACGGGGCCACCGCAGATCGATCCAGCCCGAACAATGCCTCAGAAAGATGGGGTCTAGGCCTGGTGGGGTTCTGGTCGTGACGTTTCGCAATATATTCTCTTGCACAGGGTGTCTAGAGCTCCGACCACTTTCTTCCGCGTCGCACCCCCCCCCCTCACCCTCGCGTCCCCAGCGCCAGAGTGGGACCCCCGCGCCGTGGCTCTCTGCCCCGAGCCCCCCCGCGTCCCCAGCGCCCCAGCGGGAGCCCCGCCCACTGCCCCCTCCGCCACGAACGCTTTATTCCGCGTCGCGACGCACACTACCTCCCCCACCTCCCCCTCGCGCCCCCAGCGCCCCAGTGGGGGCTCCGCCCCGTGCCCCCTCCGCTTCGACAATTTTATTCCGCGTCGCGACGCGCACCACCTCCCCCCCTCCCCCCTCCGTCCCCAGAGCCCCAGTTGGACCCCCGACCCGTGGCCCTCTGTCCCAAGCCCCGCCGAGTGCCCCCTCAGCCCCGACAATTTCATTCCGCGTCGCGACGCGCACCACCTCCCCCCCCTTCTCTCCGCGCCCCCAGCGCCCCAGTGGGACCTCCGCCCCGTGCCCCCTCCGTTCCGAGCACTTTATTTCGCGTCGCGACGCACACCACCTCCCCCTCCCTACCTGGGATTTGAGCCCCGTTGCTGTGCCCCGAGGGGCGATGTCTTGCCCCCTCTTCCCCCCTCCACCTCCTCCTCCTTCCCCTTCTTTTTGTGCAAGAGCCATGGCACACGTGTCACTTGTTTCAGGTTTGGTTGCAACGTCGGACCTCAGGATATCCTCGCCGCATGGCAAACAAATCACGACAGATGTTTGTTTGCTATGTTCAGCCTTTGTGTTGAGTCGGTGGGGATTCGGGGTGACAGCATGGTTTTGGGACTTGGTTCGTTCTCCGAGGACGTCTCGGGCAACTGGGGTCTCAAAACCGTGCGGTGACGGACCGTGCGGTGAGGTCTTTGGGGGGATTCCGAGGTCTCCGCACTGTCCGCCACCGCACGGTTGTCCCAGAGGTCATTCGCCGTTTTCGGTCTCAACAGGCCCTTTCCCAGGGCCCCGTGACATTCAGAGAACGACCAGGACCGTTCCCCTACCTCGCGTCTGGACGGAGCGGTTCGAGGGGGGAGCTACGATGGGTGGGGGTCATTGAGGGGAGGTCCCCGACCCGAGGGAAGGTCGCCAAAGGGGTCCCCGAGGGGGGTCTCCGAGAGGGATCCCCGAGAGGGGGGGGGGGGCGAGGGGGGGCACCAAGGGTCTTCGACGCTGTCCAGGCAAAGGGTGGTGCAGTAGAACATACCTGAATGTCCCGCCTGACTCGACCCGACCCGCCCGCCAGACCCGCGACCCGACCGTCCGGGCAGCTCGCCTGCCAGGCATGGGATCGCCACAATATGCCTAATGTCCCGCCCGCCCGACCTGGCTCGCCCGTCACGGGCGCCCGCGTGCCAGGCAAATGCTGATACGACGCAGCATCACGTGATCTCCCTCTCGCCCGGCCCGGCCCGCCTGCCGTGGGCCCGCACGGGACCCCTTCCATATGCGATCGAAGAGGACGGACAAATGAAGAAGAGGGGGAGCAGGCAAAGGAGGAGGAGGAGGAGGAGGAAACATGGGGGTGGTGGAAAAGGGGGAGGAGGAGGGGGGGAGTAGGGGGACGAGGAGGAGGAGGAGGAGGAGGAGGAGGAGGACCTGTTTCGGTTTGGAGGAGGGGGAGGGGGAGGGGGAGGGGGGGGGGTGAAGAGGAGGAGGAGGAGGAGGAAAAGGAGGAGGAGGAGGAGGAGGAGCAGGAGGAGGAGGAGGAGGAGCAGGAGGAGGCGGTGGAGCTCTGGGTTGAAGGAGGGGACGGAGGAGGATGCTGGGGGTACCCTAGGGCTACCCCTGGGGCTACCCTTAGGACATACCCCTAGGGCTAGCCTGGGGTTACCCCTGGGGCCTACCCCTAGCCTTGACCAGCCTAGGTCCTTTAGCAGGCTCTACCCTATGCAAGCCTAGGGTCTTCAGTAGGCCCTACCCTAGGCAAGCCCAGGACATTCAGTAGGCCTTAGGGTAGCCTAGGCCCTTGTGGTCGATATCATCAAAGCAGGGACTCGTGATCAGCTGGCAGATGTTTTGACTAAGTATGCGAGCAGTGACAGCCTGTCCATACACATGCGAGAGTACACATCAAGACAGTACGAACAGAGGAACCGAGTTGGCGCCCGCCACGGAGTCTTAGTTAATGCATATCCGAGTTTTCATCGTGTACCAGTTTGCTGGAATATTAAGCCCAGAATCAGTAGAGATCCAGGTACTCGCCCACATGTTTCAAAACCTACACGGCACAATGTGTTAATAATTATGCATGTTTTGATGCTTTGCGACACTCAAAGCAGTGTGTCGCGTATTAGAACAGGAGGCCCCAGCACGTGTGCGCTTGAAGTATAATCGCCTTCTGCACGCACCAGATATGCGCCTTTTATATTGTGTAGCCTTGCAACTTTTGATTTGCGGCTTGCATCTGGTTAAATTCACACACATGTCACAGCATTATTGCGGCGCGTCTTACGGCCATAGTTGGCCGAGGGGGAGTGTAAACATATCGCTTGTTTGTTTGTGCCCGCGCGGTGTAGCATGCAGCAGTTGTATATGATACAGAGGGAGCGTAGCGGACGCGATTTGGTTGGGACCGCCCGGCGTGCGTCGATCGATGCGGTTTTGCTTCAGTTCTGTTCGCCTCTGTTTTTTTGTTGCAGGAGGACAAGGAGGAGAGGAGAGGAGGAGGGAAAGGAGGAGGATGGGGAGGAGGGGGAGGAGAGGAGGAGGGAAGAGGCGGAGGAGAGGAAACGAGAGAGGACGAGGAGTAGGTGGAGTCAGTTTCGCGGGGCCACGTGCACGAGAGATGCATTCAGAAATTTTGGTAAAGAGGGCCGACCTGATAAGATTGGTGCCTGGGGGCGGAGGGTGATCAACGCCCTCGAGGCGGGAAAATTTCCTCTTGGGTTCGGGACCTGGCCTGAGCCAGCGTCGCAACCCGCTCAGTTTTCGGTCTTGGCGTGCCCGATTCGCCGATTCTGGGATTTCACGCTGCTGTTCTGGACGTGGAGCACGCCAGAGGAGGCCATCTGGGAGGCCTCTGTTACCGCCGCCCCGGTCCAGGAGCGGCAGGGCGGCCGGGGGAGCCCCGGTTCGGCGGAGCTTGCGAACCGGAAGGCGCGGCGCAGCAAGAAGCAGCAGGGCAAGCCGCGCGAGGCTTCCTGCCACGGCGAGCCCGCCGAGGTCGAGGCGGCGCCTCCGCCTCTTGTCGCAGCGGGGCGGTAATATTCGAGTTTGATTATTGGTAGGTCGTCTTGGACCCGTCTAAGTGTCCTGATGTGGCCCAGCACCGGTTCCGGCCAGCAGGAAGGGCGGGCAGGTTCGAGGTTTCGTGTTCGGAACTTCTTTTGTTCTTTGTCACGAGCAAACGACGTCATACACAAGTACGACATGCGCGTCACATGATTCAGCGAGCAGTGGCATTATGTGTTCTACTGATCATGTGATTCACGCGGCCGCGTCTGCCTCCTTGGCGCATTTACCCTGTCCGTGTGCGTGTTCGAGCAGCATGATGTATCATCTGCGCGTCGCCGCGCGCGCCATAGTCGCCCTTTCGAGCTGCGGTTTGCGGCGCTTGTCGGCGCGCCCGTCTGCGGCGTTGAAAGTATTCACTGGGAGCGCAAAGTGATCGGACGAAGATGTGCAGAACGTGCCCGTCCAGTCCTCAGCGACGCGTCATTTGTGCCCAATGGTTCAAGGGGGCACGCGCGATAATGAAATCGCAAGATACAGCTTTTGGCGAGTGCGGGGAACTTTTCGTGATTCTCATTACTTGTTTTTTTTTGGCTTGGGTGACATAATAACAGTTTTGAGCGACGTAGGACAAGTGGCCCGCGGCATTGACACAAAGCCAGAAAGCGCACGATCGTTCGAGTAATCGAGTATGTTTCGATCACCGTTTTGTGAACTCCGTGAAACAGGGGTTGCAGATGTTCCTGGAAATTCATCCCACCTGTGCTTTCAGTGCCACGCTGGGGTCCCTGGGCCCCTCCCCCCCGTCGCCAGTTCTCCTACCCCTACGCCCTCCAGTAGCCAGTGTGGTCTTGACCATGGCCGTGGTAGCCGTAGCTGTTTCCGCAAATCGTTGGATCAGGCCCCGCGATGTTGCCAATGCGGCGTGAAGCATCCACGGAGACAGATCTTTTCCTCTGAGTATCAATTAGTTTATGAAGCGGGCGATTCAGGTTGGCGGCCTCGGTGCATATCCCTTGTCTGCGCGCCCAGCGCAGTCGGTGCGCGCGCCATGCCGCCCGCGCGGGCCTGGCGCCCAGCCCAAAACTATGTGCTATTTATGCTTATGTTGTCTTCTCGTTCCGTTTGTTGGCCTCCGCGGGGGCCGCATTCGGTCCGCAGGACCGTGCAAAACGGGTCCGGGGTGAAACATCCCACCAAAGGGACCCCTGGAGGGGTCTGAGGACCGAAGTTGAGCGGATTTGGCCTCATGCCCCCTCCTGATTGATTTTCTAGGCAACCATTTCAGAACCCCTGGCCGCCTCCAATGGTCGACCCTTCCAAATTAGGAGCCCAGACATCGGGCGACTCGAAACATCGAGACGTTTTTTTTATTTCGCAGTTTTCGGCCTCTCGGGGCCCTCGCTGGCCCTCGGGACCGTCAAAACAACAGGGACCGGGATGCAGCACGGGGGCCCGGGGAAGTGGTCCAGAGGTCGGGGGGCACGTGAGCGCCCTCTTGTGTCCAAACAGTATTAAAGATATGGTAACAAGCGGTGGACCATTGCATCCCCTGAAGTGGTCACCCGCTTGCTGACCGAAACTCGGGGAATGCAAGCGGCCCAGGCTGGCCCCACTCCCGAAATTCGGGGTGTGCCATGGCTGGCCCGCTGCCGAATTTCGCCGAATTTCAGGTAACAAGCGGATGACTATTTCGCCACAGGAATTGGTCACCCGCTTCTTACCCGAAAATCGGGGAGGGCAGCCTGGGCTCCCCGATTTCGGGTAACAAGTGGGTAACCTCCTGGGGGGGTGAAATGGTCACCGGCTTGTTACCCGACCTGGTACCCATGGCTGGCTCCCTTCCGAATTTCGCCGAATTTCGGGCAACAAGCGGGTGATTCGGTAGTAGTAGGTGAGCGCCCGCCTGTGTACCAATGTCCGGAGATCCAAGGTAACGAATTGTGGGTAACAAGTTGGTGACCCCCCCTCCCAGGGGGGGCGGGTCACGACCTTGTTACCCATCACTTGTCATTTTACGTGCCCGAATATTGGGAAACACGCGGGCGCTGACCTACAAGGTCTGGAGGCCGTGTCTCGAAAACATCAAAACTGCGGATGTCGGGAGATTTCTCGTGTCCTGCGTTTCGCCACACATGCCCTCTGCATTCCCATGGCAATGTGGCTTTCGCAAGTGCTTTGTGTCTTGTCGCGTGTCCTCTCACTGTAGACCCAGATCTCGAATGTAGATCTCGCCTGTGCACCCAGATCTCATCTGTAGACAGATCTCGACTGCACACAATTAGATCTCTCAGTCAATCTCATCTGTAGTCCCAGGTCTCCGACGGTGTTCGAGGATCAAGGAATGACATGCACATGCATTTTCTGAGGTCCGGCGGCGCCTCCAACGCCGCCGTTGGCGCGCTTCGCGCGCCAGGGAGTGTGGTCCAGCGCTGATCCAAGAAATCAGCGCGGACCTCTGAACGTTAATGTTCACGTCATTTTTGTTCCTCGAGATTTGATTGTTTCCATGCCATCTGAGATGTCTTTTCCACATTATGGGTTCGGCCTTCGGGAGCCGTTCTCGGGCCCTGGGACTCCCGAAACCGAGTCCGGGGCTAACATTTTGCCCCGAGAAAGGGGGTCGGGACATGTGGGGCCTCCGACGGAAAAAGCCTACCAGCTCGAAACAATCACGCATTGTGTTTCGGTATGTTCAGCCTCTGGGGGGCCCTCGCCAGGCTTCAGGGCCGTCAAAGGAAGACCCAGTATGAAAAGCTGGTCCCGGGGAACGGGTCGAGACCTCTGGGTGTCGACGTTGTGATTGAATCACGTCGTCGAGGATTTGGGATCGGCATCACCCAAACATCTTTATACTATGTGCGCGTCGTCCCCGAGGTGCGACGCGCGCGCCGAGGAATCTTACAGGCTTTCTTGGCCTTCTCAGAATGCGGCGGGGCTTCTCAGACGCCATCGCGCCTTTGAGAAGCCGTCTTGTCGGCGGGGAAGGCTAAAACAATTTTCTCAGAAGGCTGGAGACTTTCCAAGCCCTCTGAGAAGGCCCATCCCCTTTGCAGCATTCTCCCCGAGCTCGCTGCCGATATGTGTTCGGTCCAGACTTGCGCTTCCAAGGGGGGCGTCGGGCGGGGCTAGGCCAAGAATAGATCCGTTCCAGAGCGTCCCAGAACGCTCTAAGAGCGTTCTGGAACGCTCTGAGAAGGCCGCGGCACCCGATACATCCCTCGGAACCGCCGGATCTCTGAGACCCCCGATTTATCTTGGTCCGATGTATTATTTGTCTTGCCTTCGCCTTAGGGTGCATGACATTGGTATGTCCTTCTTCGTTCTGCGTCCCATGGATATAGGTTAGAGCTTTGGTCCGCCCTCGGGGCGAGGGTGCCCGTGCCATGCCTCCAGAGAAGGAACCACTGCATAGACATGGACTATTCGACTGTAGTTCGACATGGACTGTTTGGCAGCATCTTTCGGAGGTCCGCGCGGATCTCTTAGATCGGCGCTGGACCCCCATGGCGGCACCTCTGGCGCCGCACCTGACGCGCTCCGCACGCCAGGGAGGGGGGGCGCAGCGCTACTCCAAGAAATCCGCCAGAACCTCCGAAAGGTTCTGCCTGTCATGATTTGTTTCTCTAGATAGGGCAGCCCTTCTGTTCGCTACTGGGGGCACCCGTCTTATGACCCGAGGCAGGAAACCACGCACAGACGTACGATATACGTAATTCGTCTGCTCGAGGTCCACACGAGTTTCTTGGAGATCGGCGCCAGACCCCCCCAGGCCGGATCGCTTCCCGGCCGCTGGTCCAAGAGATCCGCTCGGAGCCGACGATGGGGGCGAATAGCCCAGGGGCGGGTATTACACGATTTCGCCCGGGAGCCTCGCCGAAGGCATGGACCATCGGCGCCCTTGGCCCTTGGATACGTGTATTGCTTTCCCCAGGGCTATTCGCCCCCATCGTCGCCCCAGATCCGCGTGGGCGCCTGGCCCATGACGGCTGGGGAGCTTGTGCCCCCGCGCAGCGCCGCTTCACATGGTGTCCGCGATTCGGCCCGGTCGGCTCGGCCGCGTCGCAGTCGGTTGCTTTCGGTTCGGCTCGGTCCGGTCGGTTGTTGTGTCGTTCGATGTTGCCAATTATCCTCAGGACATGTGCTAGCCGAATGTGTTCCTGTGGTCCAGCACACGCTGGCGCTAACGCACGTTATGAGGATCAACGATTGTTGCGTCGCGCCGCGCTCTGGGCCGCCTGCGGCAGGTCGTTTCGGTCGGCTTCGGTTTCGCTGTCGGTCTGGTCGGTCTTCGTTTGGGCTGTCGCCGCCGACGGCCTTGCCTGTGGGTGTGAAGTTTCCAGCCGCCCTGGGACAGGCCTCCCCGACGGCTGAGAAGCTACGGTATGGATCATTCCGTTCTTTGTCCGCTGACCTCCCCTCACCTCTCCATCGACGGACGAACAGTTTCGCCATGAAGGCTACAGGCTCCCAGATGAAATGGGTCCCACAGGTTGTTCACCATCTCTTTGCTCCCGAAACCCTCACTGGGCCCCGGGGCCGTCAAGACCTGACTCGGGATGAAGAACTGGCCCCAGGGGACACCACAGGCTCGAGGACCCGCTTCCACCAGGACCCCTTTTCCTCACGTCAACATCTCTATTGACGGACGAGCAATCACAACCGACGAACGAAAAAGACACCAGCTTACACGTTCAGAGGTCCGTGCGAATCTCTTGGGGAGGAGGGGGGGAGGGGGAGAAGGAGGAGGAGGAGGAGGAGGAGAAGGAGGAGGAGGAGGATAAGGATACCCCCTCTCTTCCTTCATCCCTTGCCCTGACAAGATATTATCTACGCTTCGCGTATCTTTTTGTTTGCCATGCCGCCCTCTGGGCTTTTCCTTGCGGGCCGCAAATCAAAAAAGTATCCTCTTTTTGCCTTTCCTCTTCCTTTGTGCTATGTTTGGCCATTGCTAGTCTGCAGTGCCCTGGATGCCGCCCGACCTTTTCTTCGCCGCGGTCGCGATCAAAACAGTGTCCCCACCAGTCTGACAGCCAGACCAGGGGGCCACCAACCGTGCCGCGAGCGCTCGACGGCCATGGGTACGTACGGCAGTGGGCCCCCTCCGCGCGGCCTGATCCCCCTCTACCGCCTCCCTTCACCACGTGCCACGTTCTCCCCGTCACCAGACGCGCGACCGCTAATCGCCTTCATCTTGCGATTCCTCGTCACCTCACCCAACTTGCGACCGTTAGTCGCCTCACCATCTCCCTCCAGCGCCCCCTCCCACCAACGCCGGTTCCCGCTGCTCCCTGCGCCCGTGAAGCCCATGCTCGAGCGCCTTCCTCTCCGCCCCTCTGACTCCGCGCCCGCCTCAGGCTACCTTTGTGGCCGCCCTGGCCTCGTGCCCAATACCGCCTGGCGCGCGCCCAGCTGGGGCTGTCGGCCCGCACCTGGCCTCCCAGGACGCCCTTGTCTCTGGGTTTTTTGTGGCCCCCCGCCCCGTGGGGCCGGGCCGCCCCCCCCGCCCCCGCTTTAGGCGAGCGCCCGGGGCCTATTCGGCGCCCCCCTGTCTCCTGCTGCGAGGCCGCCGGAACGCCCTGCCCGTCTCACCGCGGCGCCTGCCCCTCGCGGCACCCGCCCGGCGGCACCCCGCGCTGGGCGCCGTTCGGGCCTCTCGTTTGCCGCATGGTGGTCGCGTGCCCCTCCTTCAGGTCCCTTTTCGCCATCTGCTGCCACCCGCCCTGTCCTGCCATGCCCGCGCGCGAGGCCAGAGGGAAACCCCCCTTTGGCCCAGGGCGCAGGTCTTCTGGTTATCCCCCTCCGCGGGGTCCTCTCCCCGGCGGTTCCCCGTCGGTTTCCGTCACTCACCCATGCGACCGTTGCTCGCTCCTCGTCTGCTACAGGTCCTACGTGCCGCGCTTTCTCTTCCTGATCTGCGGCCGCTAGCCGCTTCCAACTCGCGTTCCTCGTGCTTCATCCAACTTGCGACCGTTAGTCGCCTCCTGCATGTCTCAGCCCAGCTCTCACCGCGGGCGACCCCCCTCGCCCGCGGTCCTTGCTCGCCTTGCTTCCCGTTCGCGCCACCTCGCGGCCTCCCTAGTGACAGCCCAGGCCTCGTGCCCAACACCGCCTGGCGCGTGCCCCGCTGGGGCGGCTGGCCTGCGCTATACTCCCGGGACGTCCTTGTCCTGAACAATTGACGGCCCTCCGCCCTCTGGCGTCGGGCCAGCCCCCTCGCCCCCGTTTAGGCGTCGTCCGGGACCTGCCCGGCGCTCTCCCGCTTGTCTCTTTGCGAGATTTCTGGGGCGTCCCGGGTGTCTCGCCGCCGTGCCAGCTCCGCACGGCTCACCCAGCGTCGTCGCATTACCGCCGCTCGGGTCTCTTCTTTGCCGCATGGCTGTCGCGGGCCTCCTGGGTTCCCGCCAGCCTTCTGCTGCCCCCCGCTAGTCTCCCAGATCCCGCGCGCGAGGTCGCAGGGAAATCCCCTCGGCCCACGGCGCCAGTCTGCCAGCCTCCCCTCCATGAGACTCTCCCTGGCGCCTCTCTGTCGGGATGGCCCTCGTTGCTTGCCTCCCTAGCGGCCCCTCCGCGGCCGTTTTGCCCTTTCCCGTCAGGCCTCAGGCTGAACCTTCTCGCCACCTTGGCGGCGCGGGCTGCTGGTCCTCGCCTGATGGCACCCACGGCACCTTCCCCGTGTCTGGCGTTCCGGAGCTGTTCCGTTGAGCGCCTGCATGTTTGGAATCCCCCTCGTAGCGTTGACCTCGCTGTCTTGCGTTCCGCGGTCCGTCGGACTCGCTGTTCGATTCGCTGGAGGTCTTCGACGTGGTCGTGGAGTTGCCTCCGAATTACACCATTGTGGTGCTGCACTTCGCCCAAAAGGTTTTCCAGGTGTGCGCCGTCCTGTGACCCGCAGCGAGGCTCGCCTCCTGTTTGCCCCCTCCCGCTTGGTCTTTTCTCTTCCGCTTTCGTTTTCTTCCTCTTTCCGCCTTCCTCTTCCTGTGCGCTAATTGAATTAGGCCGATGCATCTGCGCATCGCACCTTTACGCGCCCGACCTTCTCGCCGCGGTCGCGATCAAAAGTCTCCCCACCAGTCCGCTGTCCCCTCGTTGCCTGTTTCTCTCCCCCTGGTGCGCAATTGGCTCGCAGCCTGGTGTTGCGACCTGACGGCGCCCGGCCCCTTCGGCGCGTTCGCGATCCAAAGAAAGTATCCCCGACAGCCCATTCAGAAGCCCTGCCCATTAAAGCTGACGGGAAAAGCGACGAAGGGACACATCTAGGGAAACAAAGCGAGCGACCAGGATGAACCGAGAGATCTCTGGGAGCAAGGGGGTGGCCTTGGAAGGCCTCTTCGGGCCATCCCTGGGGGCTCGCGGGGGCGAGGGGAAAAGGAGGAGGAGGAGGAGGAGGAGGAGTGTTTCCGCTTCATGTCTTCCTAATCCCGCAGACCACGTGTCGCCCAAAGGGCTGGTGGGATTTCTCAGCCATCAACTGGTGCTGCTGCTGCTGGTGGTGGTGCTGCTGATGTTGTTGCTGCCGCTGCTGGTGTTGCGGCCGGTGCCCTTGAAGGCCTGTTGGGGCCATCTGGGAGAGCGTCTGTCAAAATATGGAGGGCCCTCGACTCCGACCCCTTCCCAGGGCCTTCGAAATCGTTTCTTGGAGCTTTCGTGGGGGTCTTTGGGCGGGTCTTGGAGCTCTCTTGGAGCTGTTTCAGGGTCTTGGAGTCTTGTTGGGGCCCTCTTGGGGCTCTCTTTGGGGCCCTCTTGGGAGCCCTGGCAGGCCTGTTCCGCCCATCTTGAAGGCCACCGGTCAAACGAGGAGATGGCATAACGTTCGGTCCTCCCCCAAAAAGGCCAACATGGGGCCAAAACTTTGGTAAAACCAATGATTTTGGCTTCCTCGCCGAGGCCGTTTTGGACGCCCTGACACTTGGCGAAGCCCCCAATATAGTCCAGGGGGGGTAGGGGGAAGTGTAACCCCCCCCCGTAGGGGAAGAGTTTTTTTTTTTGAAGAGGAAGCAGGAATCTCGTTGGACCACCTGCGCCTAGAGGGCTGGTGAGATTTCTTCGCTGTCGCACCCCCAGATGTGTCGGTATGCCGGGCCCGGCGTTTCGCCTGAGTCTTCCTCACCAGCTATGAGTTTAGAATTTGCCATGTGCAGCAGCTTCAGGGATAGAGGGCGGGCCCTTTTCAACATGTGGTTCGCGCCTTAGCGCCGCGCACGCTTGTCTTCACAGCTTGTAGCAGTTTCGCGGCTGGACGGCGGGTAGTTTGCAACATATTCTTCTCGTTTGAGCGCCGCGTAAATTCGTCTCATTAGTTCTCAAAAGTTTCATGAATGAGAGGCGTACTTGGTTTCACCATGTGGTTCTCACCGCAGCACCTCACCGCAGTGCCGCGCACGTTCTTTGTAAACGTCTCGAACAGTTTTAAGGATGACGGGTGTTTTTGTCCAAAGTATGGCTCTCGCCCTAGCGCCGCGGGCATTCATGTTGAAACGTTGCGACATGTTCAAGGATTCCCACGGTGGGCTGTTGTCAATATTTCGGGTCCAGCATTCTGGTCTGCCACTCTGAAGTCCCAGGGGTTGTGTTTTGGCACGGTCGAAGATTCTCAGACGTTTGTTTTCCAATGTGGCATTTCCCGCAATGACAGCACATGTTGTAGGGCCCTCTGAAGGTGGAATTTAAAGCGTTTGTTGATTGCAACATCGTTGATGCGTCTTGGGCTTGCACTAGCCTTCCTCCTCGTTGGCGCTGGGCTTAGCCCACGTCCCCACTTCTGGCCGGCGCATTCGGGCCCGCTCCCGGCGAGACCCCCCTTGTTTCTCTCGGCCGTCTTGTGTTTCGGGGCCGCCTCGTGGAAGAGCCAGGGCACGCGTGCTCATTACGTCGTATATTTCTCCGCTGGCTCCCCCACTCTCCTCCGTCTCCCGCCTCCCCCTCTTCAAGAATTGTTCCCCCTCTTCCACAATTCCACTCCCTCACTCCTTCCTCGCCACGTTCCCATGAGTTTCCTAAGTATAAGTGTGTGTTGTTCTCTTTCTATCTCTTTCATTCTCGCTCACTCTCCCTCTCTCTCTCTCTCTCTCCCTCAATATATTTCCATCTCTCTACGCCCCCATCTTCCCTCCCGCTGCTTCATCCTCGCGTCTACTCCTTCACTCTCACCACTCAAGTTGAGTAGTGAGAGTGAGGGAGAAGATGGGTCTGAGTGACTCACCCCCCCCCTGATGCTTGTCGGCTGGATTGATCCCTGAGAGGGTTTCTGGACGCGACACGGGGCAAATACGCTGGTCGTGCAGTGCAGTTCGCAACGTCCGAACGCTTAGGTGAGTTATGCTTGAGAGGCGTGTTAAGCATGAGTTGTCGTCTTCCCTGGCTATCAGAGTTCATTAGTGTTTGCCTGTGGGTCAATAGGCGCTAATAGGCGTGAGTAGGCACTGATAGACACTGATAATTCGGCGCCTTTTGTAGACACTCATAGGCGCTGATAGGGCGAAACCTGTTTTGAATCCATTCCCATACGTAACACACCTGAAGATGCGAGGGCACGTCTCCCCACAGGAGGAGGCCCTGAGAGAGGCCCTGCTGCTGGAGCTGCTCTCCCCAGAGGTGGCACCGGGCGCTGCAGCCAGGAAGGCGAAGAGAAGGGCGCGGAGGAGAGCAAAGCCTGCCGATTTGTCCGAGGCGTGCAGGAGGAGGAGGAGGAGGAGAAGGAGGGAAGGAGGAGGGGAGTGAAGCAACAACTGCATAATCATAAACTTTCGGAGCTCTGCGCGGGTGTCTTTGGTCTGCGCTGGCCCCCCCCCCCCCCTAGCGGCGGCTCCAGCGCCGTCCTTGCGGCGCTTTTTTGTGGACCAGGCAATCCCCATCCCCATGGGGCCATGGTATTTGAGCACCACCATCTTATCGCCCCAGTTGGGAATATGCCCCTCGAAGCCCGACGGGAGCAGCCTATATCCCCATCGGGGGGGCTAGCGGCTAGGTCGGCCAGTGGGGCCCAGGCCACGCATGTGGATAGGGATCGGTTAAGCGATGCTCAGAAGGGGAAGGGGGAGGAGAGCGAGGGCGGGGAACATGAGTCGGAGGCGGGAGGGAAGAGAAGAGCGGGAAGAGGGGGCGGGGCGGCGGGTTGCTTGGCTGCCGAGGGGCTTCGCGGGCGCGCACTCCTGGAGGCGGCAGGAGGAGGGAGGAGGAGGAGGATCCCGGCACAACGACGAACTACAACCACAACTAAGTGGATTGAGAAGGCCTTACGGCCGGTGCCGCCGACCCTGAAGACGACGACGGCGATGACGACGAGGACAGTGAGGAGGAGGGGGGGGGAGCAGCAGGAGGAGGTAGGAGGAGGAGGAGGAGCTGGTTGGTAGCGTCTTGGGAGGCCCTTAGGGCCTGTTGGGGGGCTCCTGGAGGCGTATGGGGGTGTTCTGGGGCGTTCTTGGGGGTCTTTGGGTTGCTTTTTGGAGGCTTCTGGGAGGTTTCTGGGGGCCTCTGACGCCGGAAGCTTGTAGAGCACCGTCTTGGGGCCGTCTTTGGGGCTTCTGGGGCCGTCTTGGAGGCCGTCTTGGGGCTGTCTGGGGTCGTTCTGGTGTTCTGTTCGAGGCCTGTTGGGCTATCTTGCGGCGTCATTGGGGGCGTCTGGGCGGGTTAGGAGCGTCGGGAAGCCGAGATAGCAAGAATGCCAGAATGAATCAAACACCTACGGGGAATCGACGAATCTTGCATTTCGGGGCCCGCTTGGGAGTGCGTTTGGAGGTTTGGGGGGGCGTCTTGGATATGTTTTGGGCCGTCTGGAGGCTGATGTGGTTTCTTGGACCGATCGTTTTCGGATTCGTGGCCCTTGTAGACCGTTGTGGGCCGCTCTTAGGGCTCTCTTGCCGCGTTTTGGCGCTTTTCTGGGCCCCGTGACCGCCCCGGGGGGATGCGTATCTGGGTGGCGACCCCTCCCGGGCCCCCCCCCCCCGGCGGGGAAGGCATCAAATGGAAGGAGTTTCCCGTTGACTCAGCTACGACGTTGCTCAATTTCGCTTTGCCTTCGACTCAGCTACGACGTTGCTCAATGTCGTTGTGGTTTCGCTTTGGGTGGCGGGCTTGAAGGGGAGAGCCCAGGTGAAGGAGACGGGGGACGGACTACGAGCGTCTTCCACACGCCGACAGGGTCGGTTGATTTTTCGGGAGGGCCCCTCAGAGGAGAACCCACCGACCTCGACGTGAGCATTTGAGTTGTGGTTGTGGTCGATTTGGCCGTCCTGGGGCTGCTCGCCAGTTTGAGCTCCCCTGCATTCGGGACCAGGCATGTACAGTGTCACTTCCCGTTCTTGCTGCAGAAGACTGCCCAATTGCGAACTTGCGTGGAGCACATTGGGGCGGGACAGGGTCAGCTAATTCAAAACCATTTGTGTCGGCCGTCGCATCGTCTTGCCTAGTTGTCAGAGGGCGATCTGTCAGTAGGGGTGCTTGGCTGATGCTGCGTGGAGTCACTGCACTCGGAATCTCTCTTTCCTGGCACCGAGATCGCTCTACGGCGAGACCGTCCTACGTCATGAACCTTGTTGGGCGACCTAGATCGCGTGCGTGCTATCCTGCGCTGGGGGTGTTGGCCGAGATCAGACGAACGCCTGACACGATTGAGCTCTGGAGACACCCGCACCCGTCCTGAAACTGGCTCGAACGAATTCCTAGGATTCGAAAAACGTAGAGAGCGAAATCTCACCCGAGAGTGAAGCATCGGATCAGAAAACTCCGAAGTAACCTCAGCAGTGGCCTCTCCCTTACTTTGGCGCCGATAAAGCGGGAGAGGATCTAGCACCACTGTCAGGCTTGTGGGCTGTTTCGTTCTGGATGTCAGCTACACTGGCTGGTATGCCAAGGGCGCGGTGGCATCTCAAAAGCTTTCGGCTCCGCACTTGGTACTAGAAGACCAGAGCCTTGGCCGCCAGATCCCCACGACCTGGAGCTAGACGGAAGAGGCAAACCCGATTGCGCAGTGCGAAAACCAAATTCTTGCATGCCAGCCTTCATGATGTTTCCTTTGCTCAGGAAATCCGGCCCACAGCATCGCCCTGCGAGCTGGGTCTACAACAGAGTCAAGTTCGAGCATGAGTTGTGCAGGCGGCCCTGACCCCTCCCCAAAATAGTCAGGGGGGAGACACTTAAACAGGCCTCGTTGTAGAAACTGCCCCACCGTATACCGGGGAATGTTTCGGATTTGCAGGCCTTCTCTCGACGAAGGGATTTGACACCACCGAAACTCCCATGCGGAAGAACCACCAACATGTCTGAAGCTCGGGCTAAAATATCGGTTGGATTGCATCGCCCACTGCCTGGTCCAGGAGGAGATTCACCGCCTCCAGGGGTCTGAGACTCGGCAGATCGACTGCTGTCAGTCTGTTCGGCCCTCGGATCGCGCTTTCACGCTGTCTTCTAACCAATGCACCTTGGAGAGCTTGAGTTCTGCTGATGCTGCCCCGACCTAGCACAAACGTAGACACGCCTCCGTTGAGCCAAACAACCTGAGACCGATCCGAAGGGACGACCCTCGCGATGTGACAACAACGATAAAAGCGGGCACGATGACTACAGCATTGGACCATCACCAACTTGCCGATGATGAGGAGGAGCAGAACGCTTCCTTCCATACCCAACGTGTTTGCTGTCCGGGTGGACTGCTTCGCCACTGAAATTCCCTCTGACGTTCCGAGAGATGTTTGGTGATGATGCCTCACCGTCGCGAGTGAACTAAGGGTCGGCGTTCTTCCCGAGCGATCTTCGTAGTGTGTGGACTTGCTCGTCCTTTGTAGGTGCCCGCTGGCGAAGACGACGATTTCGGCCCAAGCGATGTCTTGATCCGCGAGGGTACGGCTGAGATGCTCGGTGTGGTCGATGAAGCGTCCGAAGAACAGGGGACGGTCACTCGGGCTGGCCATATTTCGATCCTGTTGCGTCTGCCGTTGGCGATGAGCTTTGAAGCTAGGCCCCGCCTCCAGACACTGCTGTTCTTTGACTACGAGCTGCTGCCAGGTGTCGTCCTCGCCTCTCCCCACTCGCGCAATGCGGTCCTGGCCCAAACCAGCCGCTGCTGGAGTTCGAAGTCACCTGCTCCACCTTGCCGCAGGGAGGGGGGGGAGGGAGGGAGCGGTGGAGGAGGAATGGAGGGAGGGTGGGAGGAAGGGGGGGAGGGAGGGCCTGCCGGGGATGGGGGAGGGGGGCAGACGCGCCCAGCGCAGCAGGCGGAGGCCGCCGCGCTGGGCGCCGCGGACGAGCGGCAGGAGGAGGAGGAGGAGGAGGAGGAGGACGGCGTAGCCGAGAGGGCGCGCCCGGCGGCCGCGGGCGAGGTGCGGCGGCCGGAGGCCGCGCGAGGCGAGGAGGCCGCCGAGGCGGAGGAGGAGGCGGGCCAGGACCCGCTCGGGCTGTACAACGTCATGACGGAGGGAGGAGAGAAGGAGGAGGAGGAGGAGGAGGAGGAGGAGGAGGAGGAGGAGGAGGAGGAAGACGAGGGAGGAGGGAGGAGGGAGGAGGGGGAGGAGGAGAGGGAGGAGGCAAGAGGAGGAGGAGGGAGGAGGAGGAGGAGGCGGTGGAGGAAAAGGAGGGAGGAGGAGGGAGGAGTGGCGGAGGAGGAGGGCGGGAGGCGGGCCAGGACCCCCTCAGGTCATGACGGAGTTCCCAGATGTCCCGTATCTTTAGTCTTTGTTGGATTTCGTTCATCCTTTCCATCAATCCCCATACTGTATTCTGTTTCCATTGGAATCATGTTTGTTTGTGTTTGTTCAGACTTTCCCTTCCTGACCCACCAGACACGCTTAAGCAGAATGTAACCCCTAAGCCTATGAACACAAGTTCGTGACCTAACTTAGGTCCACGGTCGTTAGGACGATCCTTTAACATAAATATGGTTTCGTCGGGCACGTCTACAAACAAATCCCAATCCTTGATGTGTGCTGGTCCTTGACATTGCGACGACCCCCAGCAGAGGCGTGGAGTCCACGGTTGAGGTGTCGTGGGCTTCTTGGGCATTCTGTGAGGATTATTGTGGGCGCCGTGGGATCTGTTTTGGAGCTTGCTGGAGCCTTTTGGAGGCAGTTTTGTGTGAAGCGTGTTGGGGGTCGCTGTGGGGCCTCTCTTCGGCCTCTTTGGGGGCCTCTTGGGGCTTGTTGCGGTCCTCTTCTAGGTCGCTTTGCTACTTCTTGGGGACTTTGGGGGGCCTCTGGACGCGGAAAGAAAGGATTTTCGGTTCGTGTTCTCCCTTGTCGCCTCCATTGGGGCGATATTTGGCCGTCTGGGGTTCTTCTTTGAGCCGTCTTGGAACTTTCTTGGGCCGTCCCGGGGCCCTCGTAGGGGCCTCTTGGGCAGTCAGGGGGCGGTCTACGGGGCCTCTTGGGCCATCTTGAAGCGTCGAAAGCTCGGCAAGACGATGTCCCCAGAAACAATGAACAACCAAAGGACAACCATTGATTCTTGCCTCTAGGGGTCCTCTTGGGAAGGCTCTTGGGGCGTCTCGAAGGCGTCTTGGGGCGTCTTGGAGCCATCGTAGGCTTCTTGGGCCAACCGTTCCGCGATTCGGGACCGTCTTGGAACGTCGTTGAGGCCACAGATGGCAGATTTGGAAGCTCCAGAGTCTCTGGCGGTGCGCCAGGGAACCCGGATACCACACCCCGTTAAACGGGTTTTTGGACTTGGGGGGAGGGGGAAAGGGGGAGAGGGGACAGCCAATCATCTCACACGCCTTCTCACCCCAGCTAGCGGGGGTCAGCGGATTGTTTATCAAGATTCCTCCCAGATCATGAAAAAATCATGACGGAGGTTTTGTTGCTATTTCCGGCGTCTGGGGGCCCTCGCGAGGCCCTTGGGCCTTCAAAGAACGGCTCCAGATGAGACTGTTGCGGGCCGACGTAATGAAAAAAACATGACGTCGGGGGTCTGGGGAGGAGTTGGACGAGGACCCTTCTCTATCCCGGGGATCATCATCATCACCTCCATCACAGCCCCCCCCCACCACCCCCACATGGACCTCTGCGCGCATGCTTTGCGCCCCAGTGGGTTGACCAAATGCCGCGGATACTAAACACACAGGGATAATAAAGTTCGGGGTTTTGGGGGAGATGATAAAAGTTGCCCGCCAGAGCCAGCATACAGAGATATCAAGAGGAAAAAGCCAAAGATATCTTGAGGATCCTTGGTCTTCGGTCCTCTATGAGACATCATCTATGGGGGCAGGGAGACGAGAAGAAACATGCATAAAAGAGAAGAAGAGGAGGAGGTCGAGGAGGAATGAGGAGGAAGAGGATGAGAAGGAGGAGAAAGAGCAAGAGGAGGAGAGAAGACCGAGGAAGCAAAAATCCAAAGTTCAAAACTTATTAGACTTAATGTGTAAACGCTTAATGAAAATTAAACTGTTCATCTGCTCGTGTAGGGGTAGCTCATGTGATTAGTTTTCCCAAGGTAATCAACCCCAGCGATAAACACATTCAGGGGGCCAGGGAGACAAGGAGAAAAAGACATAGACAGAGAAATATAAAGAAATAAGAAAAGGAAGAGGAGAAGGATGAGAAGGAGGAAGAGCAGGAGAAGCAGAGCAGAAGGTAGAAGCAAAAATCCAAAGTTGGACACGTATCGTATTTAATTTGTAAACGCTTAATGAAAATTAAACTTTTCGTCTGCTCGTGTAGGGTAACTCATGTGCTTAGTTTTCCCAGGGTAATCAGCCCCAGCGATAAACAAGTTCAGGGCGCCAGAGGGAGGAGGAGAAAGAAAGACAGAGAGAGAGAGAGAGAGACAGAGAGAGAGAGAGAAACAGAAAGCAACACAAAGAAAAAGAGAGAAAGAGAGAGAGAGAGAGGAAGGAAGAGGGAGGAGGGAGGAGGAGGGAGGAGGAGCAGGAGGAGGAGGACCAGGACAGGATTCCTTAAGCACTGCTGGTTTCGCTTGAGACATCCTCAAATAATTGCTGGTGCCGCTTGAGACATCCTTGAAATATTGATCGTTTGGTTTTAGGCTGCCTCCCAAAATTATTGGTTTCGCTTGAGACCTCCTGAAAAAAAAACGTGTTCGCTTCGCTTGTTGTTGTTATCTCAACATAAGAAGGAAGTAACCTCGATGGCGAACTTTCCCAGTGATAATGAAGTTCGGCCTCCGCGCCCTCCGCCTATATTTGAAACCCTTCTAGGGCGACGATAAAAAACTCTAACGACTTAAGGGGGGGGTACTTTATTATCCTCGGCATGGGGTTACCTTACTTCTGACTGTCTCTATGCATGTCCGCTCACCGCTGCGCGCTGTTGATGACCGCTCAACCTCAGAATGGTGGGCGAGGAGGTTGCTCGGGGCCCGCACCACCCTGGCGGGGGGCCACCCTGGCGTTTTCCGCCCCGGGTCTCCCAGGGGGGTTCTCGCCGCCACCGCTGGATCCGCCCTGCAAGCAGGGCCCAGGTGGACCCAGGGAGGGCTCCATGGACCGATTCGGAGTCCGCGGAGCGGATGTGAGACGCGTGAAAATCACGGCTCCCCTCCTGGCTGTGGCCAGCGGGCAGCGTGCCCCAGAGCGGGCGGGCCCCGGAGAGGGGCGCCGCGGCCGCGCGCGCGCGCGTCTGCCGTGCAGGGGCGCTCCGTCGATCTGGTCTGGGGGCGACGCGGGCGCCCCAGAACAGAGGTACACCCTAGGCGATGCTTAAGAAAACCTAAGTTTTCGTCCAGAGTCTCGATTATTCTCAACTTTTCAATGTAAATCCCAAGATTTTGATAGAAGTTCTGGGTTTTATTCCATTTCTGAGACTATGAAGTTCTTAACCCATGATTTCTTAAGCATTTCGCAGGGTGTACAGGGGGGACGCGCATCAAGAAGCCACGTTCCGTCGGGGTACCCGGGGTTTCTTTGCTCCGCGCGCTGCGCGTCGACTTCCCGCAGCCGCCGAAGAAGCTGCTGCGTTCCGGGTGCTCCAGGTCACCCCTCAGCTGCACCTCGCGCGCGAGTTTTCGGGGCCGGGGTGCTTGCGAGGCCGCGTCCGCACGGCACCCCAGGGAGGGGACTTCGCGGTACGCCCCGGGGCGGGGGGTACCCGGGTCACCTCCAGGGGCGCGAAGATGCGCAGAGGCACCCTGGAGGGGTGCCCTCGTGACGCCCAGGGGCCAGGTGCTGGCACACGCTGTGGCCGGAACCGTAGCTCCTGCGACGCTTCATTCGATGTGCGTCGCCCTGGGGGTCCGTGGGCGCCCCCACGGCTTGGGAACACGGAGCCCCAGGGTGTCCGCTGATTTGGTCAGGGAGTTTCCGCTCGAGGAAAACCGAACTATTCAAACCCAAGCAACTCCCCCCTTTGCTTTGGTTGACGTTTCATTGTTTCTCCAATGAGGAGAATGGGGACGATGAGCAGGAGGGCGAGGAGTCTGATGACGAAGACGAGCACTCAGAAGTGGCGGACGCCGAGTGCGAAGAAGGTGACGGCGAGGAAGAGAAGGACTATGCGGACCCAGCGGCCGCAGAGGATCTTCACGAGGATGAGGAGGACGCCGATGCCGCAGCGCTTGCGGAGGCCCCAGAAGCAAGGGCCGAGTCATGGGATCTGTTTCTCGTTCGCTTGCTGCAGCGCAAAGCTGTGCGTTGACATTGGTTCGACCGTGGTGGTAAGACAGGTTGTCCAGTCCTGCTGCCTCGGGAAAGCTTTGCAGCCTTTCTGCAGCGTGGCACCGCCGTGATGCTTCCTCCGGAGGAAGGGGCCTCCCGTGGGCCGTTTTGGGTCTCTTCAGGCCCATGGAGCAGGGTTGTCTTGAGGCCGTTGTGAACGTAAGAGCTTCTTTGGGGCAGTCCTTTGGGCCACCTTGACACCCCCCCTTCGGGCTGTCTTGGGGGCGCTCTTGGGGCCATCCTGGACCGTCTTTGTTCCCAACCATCCTGTGGTGTTGGGTCTTCGTTTTGAAGAGACGGTCCCCGCGACCCTCCTCTCCTCTTCTCTCCTCCCTCCTCCTCCTCCCCCTCCTCCTTCCCCCTCCTCTCTCCTCTCGTCACCCTCTCACTTTGGTACACCCCTCACACGTTTCGTGGCCCCATAGGGAGCTCCACCTAAGGTCCCAGTGGCGCAGTTCGCATGGCGGCGACGCCTCATTGTGGCACATCCCAGGGAGCTCCACTTGAGGTCCCAGTGGTGCAGTTCTCATGGCGGCGCCGCCCCATTGTGGCACACCCCTCACACGTTTCGTGGCCCCATAGGGAGCTTCACCTAAGGTTCAGTGGCGCAGTTCGCATGGCGGCGCCGCCCCATTTTGGCACACCCCAGGGAGCTCCACGTAAGGTCCCAGTGGTGCAGTTCGCATGGCGGCGCCGTCCCATATTGGCACACCTCTCACACGTTTTCATGGCCCCATAGGGGGCTCCACCTGAGGTCCCATTGGTGCAGTTCACGTTGCGGCGCCGCCCCAGTTCGGCACACCCCACATACGTTTCGTGGCCCCATAGGGAGCTCCACCTAAGGTCCCATTGGTGTAGTTCGTATGGCGGCGCCGCTCGATTTTGGCACACCCCTCACACGATTCGTGGCCCCATAGGGAGCTCCACCTAAGGTCCCAGTGGCGAACTGCGCATGGCGGCGCCGCTCCATTTTGGCACACCCCTCACACGTTTCGTGGCCCATAGGGGGCTCCACCTAAGGTCTCAATGGCGCAGTTCGCATGGCGGCGCCGCCCCATTTGGGCACACCCCTCACACGATTCGTGGTCCCATAGGAAGCTCCACCTAAGGCCCCAGTGGCGAACTGCGCATGGCGGCGCCGCTCGATTTTGGCACACCTCTCACACGTTTTCATGGCCCCATAGGGAGCTCCACCTAAGGTCCCAGTGGTGCAGTTCGCGTGGCGGCGCCGCCCCATTGTGGCACACCCCTCACACGTTTCGTGGCCCAATTGGGAGCTCCACGGAAAGGCCCGAGTGGGTGTGCCCGGATGCGTCACCCACTGCCATTTCGTCATACCCATCACACGTTTTCATGGCCCCATAGGGAGCTCCACCGAAGGCGCCAGTGGCTGCGTTCGCGTGCGCCCACCGCACCCATTTCGGCACATCCTTCACACGTTTCGCGGCCCCATATGGAGCTCCACCGACGGCCCCAGTGGCTGCGTTCGCATGCGCGCCCACCGCACCTATTTCGGCACACCCCTCTAACGCGTTATTCCACCGAAGGCCCCAGTGGCTGCTTTCGAATGCGCCCACTGGACAAATTTTGACACACCTCACACGTTCCTTCGCCAGGCTAATTTTGCTGTGGGTGGGCCCCTCTCGGGGCTGTCCTTGGGTCAACATTCGAGAAGCCTTTGTGGGGGAGCCCAGGTGCAGTTGCCAGGGGCTTCGGAGCGGGCCTCGCCTTCGACGGTCCGATCTGTTTCCATCTCTTCCTCAGCGGAAATCCCGGGAAAGTTCACTCACGTAAAGCGAGAGGAGCTTCCGCCGGAAGGCTGGCGGAAATTGGCGGAAATCGCATGCCCCATCCCAGGAATGATAATTTGTTTTGTTCCGGGGTTCTGGAGCGAGCCATCTGGAGGCCAAGCATATACATATAACGGCGCACCGGGCTCGGGGGCCGAGGGCCGGAACCTCGACCGCAAATGTGGGTACCGGGGCCCAGGCCCACCTCCGGGAGGCTTCCTCAGACAGCAATCCCGGCGGCCCTAGACGGTCTCGAGACACCCTCAAGAGGCCGTTCAGGGGTTTCTGGCGACGCACGATGCGTTCTAAATTGCCCTGGAGGCCCCCAAGAGGCCTTTAAGATGCCGCCCACGAGCGCCCCGAGAGGGCAAAATCGTTGATTTTCATTGTTTCTTTTTAATGTGTTTTTGCATTCTCGCTGTTTCGTGTTTCCGGCGCTGAAGCACCGCCCAAGAGGCTCCCAAAACCGCTCCAGGACGGCCCAAGAGGCCCCCAAGAGGGCCCCAAGACGGCCCAAGAGAGCCCCGAGCTGGCCCCAGAGCCGCCCAAGACGGCGCAAGAGGGTCCCAAGAAGGCCCCAAGAGGGGCCCAAGAGAGGGAACGCGAACTGCAAAATCAAGCTCTCCGCCCCAAGATGCCCCCAAGAGGCCCCAAGAGGCCCCCAGGAAGTCCCCAAGAGGCCCCCAGGAGGCCCCCAGGAGGCCCCAAGAGGCACCCAAAAGGCTTCAAAATTCTTTCTAAGAGCCCCCCGAAGACATGCCAAGAAGGTCCAATGACGACTTCAAGAAGCAGTCCAGGAGACGTACAAGGGACCCCAAGATAGCGCCGAACAGCGCCCTCGATGCATCAAAGCTGCCTCAAGGAGGCCCTCGTGAGGCTTCCGGATTGCTTCAATGTGGCCCCAGGTGGTTTCAAGTCGGGCTTACACGCAGCCAAGACGGCCAATGATCGTTTCAGATTGCAGGCCATCACCTTCCGACTGCCCGGAGAACCCCGACGATGCCCCCAAGGGACCCTAAGAAGCCCCAAGACGCCCCCCCCCAAGAAGCACCCAAGAGGTGCCTCGAACAGCCAATGAAGGAAGCACGGAGAACCCCCCAGAAGCCCTTCAGATGCCCCCACGAAGACCCAGGAGGTTCCCAAGAGGCCCTCAGAGGCGGTAACGGTCGGTAACCAGGCGAATCTTCGGCTGATACACGCAGCGCACGAGGCGGCAGCGGGCGGCATCGGGCGGCAATGTGGCGAACCCTCGGCATACCCGCACAGCGCACGAGGCGGTTCGGCCACGAGGCGGCAACGGGCGGCAACGCTACGAATCGCCGGCGTACCCCGACGGGCGACAACGGGCGGCAACGACGCGAACTCTCGGCATACATCCCACAGGCGGCAACGCGTGGCGATGTGGCGAATCCCCGGCACGTCCACAGGCAGCAACGGGCGGCAACGGAGCGGCATCGGGCGGCAGCGTGGCGAATCCTCGGCATGACCGCGCAATGCACGAGGTGGCAACAAGGCGGCAACGGGCGACAACGTGGCGAATCCTCGGCATGCTCCCGCGGGCGGTAACGGGCGACAACGTGGCGAATCCTCGGCATACCCCTTGCAGGCGGCATCGGGCAGCAACGTGGCGAATCCTCGGCACACCTCCACAGGCGACAACGGGCGGCAACGTGGCGAAACATCGGCATATACCCCAGGCGGCAACGGGCGGCAATGCGGCGAATCCTTGGCGTACTCGTCCAATTCCTCAGCCATCCAAGTAAGAAACTCTAAGTGTAATCACTGGTTGAGAAAGGGCGAACAAGTGGCACGTGCGCGCCACAGCACATGCATTGAGCAATGAGGGGCCGCCGTTGGGATTGCCACAGCTTCCGATTAGACCACATGTTGAGAGCCGCCTCTGTTGGCATTGCTCAATGGATACTAGGGCCTATATGCAGATTTCATTCGGGAAACCACAGAAACACACCCATGCTTCTCCAGCAGCAGTGAGTACACTGAGTGGTTCAAGGCTTGCTTGTATACTGGTGAAGAACTACAATACTGTAGGAAACAGTTGAATCAACTACGGGAGTATTGCAATTATCTGCCGGCTGATTTAAAGTTTGTGTGCGTGTGCATTATGTGAAAATTATGAAAACCCAGTATGTTGGTTCCCTAACGTCGCAAAGTATTTGAGGGGTGTGCTTGAAGAACAAATGTATTCTAGCGAGTATGTGCGTCACCATTGGTTTCCACTGTGAGCTTGGAGGCTTCATGTCCAACGGATGAAATGACATGGTCTAGTTGATTTTGAAGTCGCGATCTGCGTGAGGAGCTTCAGATTATTTGGATCTTCAGGGCGACGCAGCCAAAACAGTTGCGGACGGGACGACCTTTTGTCGCCTCTGAGCTCTGTTCCCACGGAGGGGTGCATTTGAACATATGCATGCATCTTGAGCCTCTCAGCTCTAGTGTACTCTCGACTCTACGGAATACTTCTTGCGTGGCGCGCGGGCTGGATCTAGGGGACGCAAGCCTGAGTTGAGGTCCCCTTGGCACAGCCCCTTCAGTGGCTAACACAGCCATTGAGTTGTGGGTTTTGGTTATGGAAACATGTCCCACGGAATGCGCGATCATTGATGGTGTTTCTTCATCGTTGCAGTATGTGTTTTCTGTACCCGACTCGTTCGGCAAGGATTCATAGCGTCAGGGGAACCTCAGCATTCGGTGCGTTCGGCTTCGCACCGTTGTTTATTGGTGACCTTTAGAGCCTGCTATCATCGAATGTTTACATCGCATTCGTATTGTGTGTAGGGGTCGCTGAATGGTTATCGTAACATGCAGGATGCCATTGGACCTTCGAACATGTATTGGGTTTGACTGTGACGCGCGTTGAACACAGCGCGTGGTGGATGAAGCGAACAGTGTGTTGTTGATGATGTCGTTATGGTTCTGTTGCGTGCAATCAGCATTACTTGAGCGAGTTTCACAGTCGACCTGCGGTTGCAACGCAGTGAGAGTGCATTGATGTCAGAAACGCTAGATCACAGTTGGTCAATACGTGTGCTCGTGTCACACATGTACGGAGCATATCACACACAAGACAGCCATATCAATGACACTTGAAACGCGACCGCCCATGCTCATTTTGCTTCGAGAGGGTGTAACGCTACTACCACGCAGTATCTCCAGAGCTCGGCATGATCGAGTGGAGACAACTCGGTAACCACGGAGACCATGCCGGTTGTCATCCGAGGGCCAGGGACATCACGGATAGCGCAAGGCCGTTGTTGCTGCCCCGTAGACCCCATGCCCGCAGGCCGAGGACGAGGCCGAAAGAAACGTGGACGGCGACGCGGAGGAGGCCGACGGCGAGGACGCGAGCGGCTCCTCGGAGGGCCACGCGCGCGGGGGCAGCCACGCGGGCGGCCTGCAGGCCGCCTCCGCGCGGGACCTCAAGGCGGCCTCTTGCGGCGCGCCCGCGCAGCCCAACGCGTCCGGCCCGAGCAGGTGTCAGATTCGGGCGGTGGGGTCCTTTTCAGAGGGGGTCTCAAAAGTGTGCGCAACAGTTCATGCAATCGTTCGTGCGGGGCTGCCACGCGCCACGCGCCACTTGCTGAACTCTTGCCTGTTTTTGCGACCCCATGACGAAAGACCCCCTTGTGCCTGGAGCCAAAGGTGCTCGTCCACGTCCACGGAGGAGGGCGGCTCGTCCGTGGAGGCGCTCCCGGCATCGGCGCGGCGTACTTCCAGCCCACTGGACTCCGAAACGCCGGCGGGCCTCGTCGTCGCCGTCGTCATCGCTCGTCTTCGTCGCTTGTCGTCGTCGTCGTCGCCGATCGTCGCTCGCGGTCCTTATCGCCGCCGTCGTCGCCGTCGTCGTCGTCGTCGCCGCCGTCGCTGATCGTTGCTCGACGCAGTCGTTCGTCGTCGCTCATCGCCGCGTCCCAGGCGGAGGCTGAGGCAGCAGCGGCCGCGGCGGCGCCCGAGGCCGCTGGCATCGCCGCGGGCGCCGCGAGTCCGGTCGCGGGCCTCGTCCCGAGGAGACAGAGGGCTTGGGCCGATCTCATGGATTCCTCGGACGACGAGCTGGAGGCTCTGTGCGTGAGAGCGACGGAGCGAGCGGCGGCGGCGACGAAGGCCGCGGCGGCGGCGGCGAGGACGGCGAGAGGCGACGCCGAGCGACGGCGAGCGGCGACGACGGCGCCGACGGGCGATAGGCTGCACGCAGTGGTGGCCTTTCACCAGAGTGGCATCTGGCGCGCGGCCTCGGGGGGGCGCGCTGGGGGGGGGGGAGCCAAGCTCGAGCGCGCAGGTCGCCGCTTGCCGCGTCGCGCGCAGCAGTCGCAGGCCGCGCGCCCAGAGGTCACTCTTGCGCGCATGGCCGTGACAGTGTTGGCATTCGTCTCCTGCTCTCCTTCTCCCTCTCTCCCCTTTATCTGCCGTCGTTCCTTCGGTCTTCCCCTCCTCTGTCCGCGCAGCAGTTTGCTTCGTTGCGTCCCACCGTCGCCTTACCGCTGCTTGGGTCCATGCGAGCGCCTAAGAAAATGGGTCGACTGCGCCGGCATTCGCATGTAAGTTGCCCGCGTGAGGTCGCGCGTAAGCGCCCTCGTCTCAAATGTGGCGTGCCGCGCTGGCGGCCCGCGGAAGCCGCGGCTTAAAGTCGCTACGTCATCTCGCGTGAGACCCGCTTCTTTTCGTCGCCCATGTGGCCGCCGACTAGCATTTGCCATCGTACGGACGTCCATTCCTTGTGCACTGCTCGACTTCGTGCGATTATTTCTTCTCTTCGCAGTGTGACCCAAGATGCTCGTGGATGGTCCTCGCTGAGGATGAACGCGCACGTCCGAGCGATGCCAAGACAAGCGTGTGGCCGAGACGGCGAGCGACGGCCAGCGACGGCGACCAGCTGCAGGCCCCTGATTCGCCCGCGCTGCTCGGTATGCCGCCCTGCAGCGCCCCGGGCGCGCCCGCCCACGCCGGGCCGCCGCGCCACCGCTCCGCCAGCAGCGGCCGCAGGGGCTCCAGGCCGCAGGCGCTGGAGGCGCGCGCCGCCCCTCTCGGGCAGATCGACGGCTGCAGTGGCGCCGCGCCTGAGGCGACCGCGAGGTTCTCGGAGGAGTAAGAGAGGTCCTGGTACTGATACCGATGCCCTTGCCTCGTGTGCTCCTTTCTGGGCCTCCTGGGAGTTCCTCGGCGCCACCGCCTGATTCGCCTCGACATTCTGCTCAAAGCGCACCCCCGGAGAGGTCTGGGGAGTAGCGGTATCGGCACCCTGGGTTTCCCCGGGTTCGTCAGAGCCTCGAGTCATCAGGGCCGGGGTTTGACCAGGGGTGCCTCCTGATGCGTGCCTCGGGGGCCCGAGCCGGAGTCACCCCGAACTGGAGTCATCCTGGACAGCTCGGGCGTCCAACCAGCCCCGGATCATCAGGGCTGGGGGTGGTCAGGGGTAGCTCCTGATGCGTGCCTCGGGGGCCCAAGCCATAGTTACCCAGGACCAGAGTTGTCCCCGATAGTTTGGGCGTCCAAACCATTCCCGCGCCAGCGGGGCTGGGGGGTGTCAGGAGCATTTCTTCATTCGCGCGTCGAGCCCCAACCCAGGGTACCCTGGACGATATATAAATACAATGTATAAATATACATACAGACATACATATCCCGCATAACTCTGGCGTCCAATTTTCAGGCTCGATCTTCAGGACGTGTCTTAGCCCAAGCGTGTGTTTACTCCGCCGATGACGCGCAGCCTGCGTCGGCCCTCGCTGCACCGCCTGTGTCGTATTGAAGGGCCTCGGTGGACAAGCATACGTTGGCGCCAAACCACGTTCGGAGGATCATCTAGGGGGACACTACACATACGTCGGGCAGGCCTCCTCATGGGATAAGGATTGATTGTCCTTCTGGAGCGTTCCGGGAAGCTAGGAGCGTGCCGGAGCGCTCCTGAACAGTTGCGGTGCTAGTGCATCCTCCAGGCACGCCTATCCGAGAATTCCCTAGCTATCCTCATCCGAAGCTGTCTTCGCCCTGCCGTCGACTTCACACACATGAGTTCTCGGAGATCACCGCGGATCTCTTGGATCGGCGCTGGGGGACCCCCTGACGCCGCCGCCCCTGGCGTGCGGAGCGCGCCAGGAAGCGGGGCCCAGCGCCGATCCAAGCAGGCCGCGCAGAGCTCCCAGAGGTTGTTCCCCACCCGACGGGTTTCCGGGGACTGTTGGGTTGATCGAGAAGAGCTCCCGACCCGCCCCACGCACCCTGCAGACTGCGGCCGCCGGCCCCAGAGTGTGCTGGTGCTCCCTGGGGGCGCCGCCTCGTAACCTCGAGGAGCGACAACTGCATATCGCGGCCGCCAGGCCCAGAGTGTGCGGGTGCTCCTCGGGGTTCCTGCCTCGCGTCTTCGGACGGGGACCGCCCGAAGCAAAGCACGTTTCATGATGTGCTCTTCCTTCTGGAGGTCGCCGGCAGCGGCCGTCTCGGGCACACTCAACCCTCTGGCGCCCGAGTTCGTGCCCTCCCGCGCGCTTCTCGAGCAGTGCCCGCCGGCGTTGCAAGAGCGGCTCCGCGGCAGGGTGCAGGCCGAGGGGCCCGCGCGGAGCCAGGCGCAGCGGGGGAGGAGCCTTCTGTCCGCGCAGCGTGCTGTGGTGCAGCCGAAGCGCGTCGAGACGGAGTGGGTGGAGGTGATCTCGGAGGGTGTTGAGTCCGTGCGGAATAAGTCCGGACGGAGTGGTCGGTCTCCGTCCGGGCTCATCCCGTCCGGGCTCGGTCTCTCCCCAGTAGGATGCTAAGTCCGTGCGGGGTAAGTCCGCACGGAGTGCTTGGTCTCCGTCCAGACTCACGCCGTCAGGACGTAGCCCTTCCTGAGCTGGTCGAAGCAGAAAGATCTAGGCTTCCCAGATGGGGCCCGAGTAGAGAAAGGGTTGGGGGGTCGCTCCGCATCGGCGATGCATCGGCGATGCGCGGCTCGATGTGGAGCCTGGTTTTCTCCCGCTGACGTCGCCGATGCACCCTCGACGTCGCCGATGCACCGCCGACGCGGCGATGCATCCGTGATGCGACGCGATCCTCTGACGCCACTTGCTCGGACCCCGTTTGGGAGGCCTCCACAAGAAGCGGCATGCACATAAACCTTCGGAGGTCCGTGCGGATTTCTCGTGTTTGCGCTGCGCCCCAGGGAGGGGAGGTGCAGCGCCGATCCAGGAAATCCGCGCGGAGCTCCGACATGCTGTGGTCATGCCGTTATTTCTTCTTCCCCAGGTGACAAGGAGACGTGCCGTCAGGAAGGCCACCGCTGGCCAGCTCTGAGTGCCGCGCCCATGGGTGAGACATGCTGGGGGCGCGCGCAGTGGGGTGTTGCGAGGAGGGCAGCCTATGAAGAAGGCGGGGAGGCTTCTCAGAAGGCAGGAGCCCCAGCGGCCTCTTGAAAAAAGGCTGCTTAGAGGCCGGGAGGGCCTCTGAGAGGCTCCCCACCTTCTTGGAAGTTCCCCCCCCCTTCCTTTGAGGCAGGGGGCCTTTGCGCCACCCCCCTTGCGCGCGCGGCCAACCAGGGGACTTGAGAGCACCGATGTCACGGGGACCCAGGCCGCGAGGCGGATCCCGGAGATCGGCGGCGCGCAAGAACGAATTTTCGCCGGAGTGACCTTCTGGCGCGGACCCACAGGGGTCACCACAGTTTTGTGGTGCGTGCGCTTGGATTCGGCCCCGCCGCGGTCCCCGAATGCCGCCAAAGGCCACTCTTGCGTGGGGTAATTCTTGCATGTAGCCGAGGAGAGTGCGGAGGTCCACCAGGATTTCTTGAGTCTGCGTTGGGCCGCCGGAGGTGCCGCCAGGGGGGCCTAGCGCAGACCCAAGAAATTTGCGTGGGCCTCCGAAAGATCACGTTTGTTCCGTTTCTTGATCCTCCAGTATGGTGGGGCGTATCGCCAATCGATCGGCGATGCACCACCGATTCCCTGTCGATGAGTAATTCCCCCTTTCGGCCAGCCCCCCCCCATCGTAGCTCCTCACGAATGCGGGGATGACGTGGGAATTCGGGTGTGCCGCTGCGCCCCGTCCGCAGCGGCTGCGGGCCTCCCGTCACTTACGCGCACGGGTTGCCGCGCGCTCGGCCGCCAGCGCCCGCCTCCGCCAGCCTTTTGCGGCCGTGGGCCCTCCACTTCTGGTTCGGAGACGCCGCGCCGCCGGCCCTCGCTGCAGCCAATACTCGCGTGGCCTTGAGGCACAAGCCGCCGCAGTGCCTGGACTGTTCGGGGCGATGGCAGTGGGTACGGAAAGAGCGGGCACACAAACAAACAGTCGTTCCTGTTCATTTGGAACAGGACTCGCTGTCGGTGTCGGCGCGGACGTTGTCCAGTTGAGACAGTACGTCGCCTGCCCAACAGCGGCCGCTGACTCGGCGACTACAACGGGTGTGGTTACGCCGGGGTGTGGGCTGCGATCGGCACCGTTGGGGCTCAGGAGGTCTCCTTGTGGCGCCAGGAGTTCGACGAGCTCTCGTCGGGACGCGGCAGAGATCTCTGTCGAGGTCCTCCTCCACAGGCGCGGGTTGCAAACCACACCTTCCAGCGTCGCCGAAATATTCACGTGGCAGTGAGGCACATGCCGCCGCAGTGCCTGGATTCTGGGCTGGCGGCCCCATTGGAGGCCTCAGGGACCTCGGGGGCCATTTTGGAGGGGGCTCGTGGGCCCCCTCCGCGGGTCCCCTTTCGGATCCTGTTGGCCCCTCTGGAGCCCTTCTTGGGGGCTCGGGGGCCGTCTTGGAGCGACTTTGAGGTCCTCTTGGCGTGTGTTGGACGATCATCTTAAGACCGAAAAGGCAAGAACGCTGGCAGCATATTACGCGGGGGCAATTTCAGCCCCACCCCCCAGGGCGAACGACCAAAACGGCCCAAGAGGCCCCCCAGCAGAGCCCCAGGATGAGCGTCCGGAAGTATCATCGGGCAGCTTGGTAGTTGAAATTCTGAACACCCCCAGAGCCTCGGGCAAAGCCATGCGACGAACCACAAGAGCGCACAAGAGTTCCTTGAGTTTGACGTCTAGTTGTTTCCCCAGAGTGTTCACAGCGTTCAGTCTTGAGAACCATCGGGGATCTGAAGTCACTCCACTCTGTGCCTGATGCATGGTGGCGGATTCAGGCGCATGGTGTGCAGGGTAGGCCAGCAGCCCCACCTTATCACTGCTCGACCGTGAGACCACCTTGCGAGCCCGGTCTTTACCGCTCTGCAAGCCCTCAGCAGTTGCGTTGAGGCGAGCGCGGTCGATCCGAGCAATGCGAACGGATAGGGGAGCGGATGAGGGTTGGTATCACCCCGATTCGCACCTTGTTCTTGATTTTTTATACGCAGCTTGCGACATGTACATCTCCAGTCGAGCTGAGCTCTGGCTGCGCTGCGCAATGCAGTGATGCAGGCATTCGCGTGATCCAGGTTGACGCTGGGACACGAGGGATGTGGATGGGAAGGGAGCGTGGAGGAATGTGAGGCACGGTCGAACATTGATCGCCTCGCTCGCTCTGGATCCCTTCGGGTCAGGCGGCGAAGGCTCGGTTTCGTCGTTGCCAAGTCTAGACAAGAATTGGTGAGTCCTTGACTGGCGCGGTGAAGAGCGAGTTTGAAGGGTGAGTCCTTGACCTACGCGATGGAGAGCGAGTTTGAAGCTGTTGGATGGTCCTTACATATGCTCGCTACTGTGCCATCGTATCTCGTTTCCTCTCCACAACGGCAATCGTTTTGGCCTTGCACAGTCAATTGCGTTCGTCGCTGTCACGGCGTGTAGCTGCTTTTTCATCGCGTTCCACTCCGAGCAGTGCACCCTCCACCCTCTTAGAGTTTTTGGAGCGACGTAGACAGAGGACGGTTTTGCAGCGGCGTCTGTCACCTTGCTTATGGCCAACGGTTGTCGTTGCGACGCTTAGTTTCGCTTGCATGGCGATTCTCAACGCCTCGTCTGCTTTATCCGAGAAGCTGCGCACTCTGCCGCTAGGCACTCCAGGCGGAGCCATCTGGAGACTACCTTTGACCAACATTTGAGCTTTCCTGGGACTGCGTTGGGGCATCAAAGAGCTTCTCTGGGGCACCTTGGTATCTTCCTCGGCAGGGGGCCACCTTTGGGGCCATCTTGGGGAATATTGGCGCCGACTCGGGGCCTTGTTGGCCATGTTTGATGGTGTTGGTCGCGTCGTGGGGCCTCTGGAGGCCACTCTGTAATTAGCCATCTTGTGAATAAGCTAAGCTAAATCGGGGCCCCCGGGCGCCGTTTTCGAAGCAGCTCTGGGACACCTTTGGCAATCCACATCGGCAACGAACGCATCGGGCCTCACCATTGTGATTGCCTCCTCTGAGCGTCTTGGGGCCCTCGTCTTAGGCCCTCGAGGCTTTCCTGGATCGTCCCGCCGCCTCTTTGAGGCCGTCGTGGGCTCTATCCAGCCCTCCTGAGTCGCTGCGGTGCGTCTCTATGAGAGTCCTCGGGCAGGAACCGAGAGTACCCCCCCCGGCATACAGCATGAAGGACACAGGATTAGTGAGACAACAGATGATGAGAAGGATGGGAATGATGCGCGTGCACCTGCGCGGGGTCACCAAGCATGGTCTCGCCGAGCGCCGCTGCGAGCGGTGGGCGGCGGCTCGCTCCCTTGGAGCCACTGCCTTGCTCACGAGGAGCTACTCGGCCTGCAGCCGAGGAGGGAGAGAGGGGAGGCGAGGGAGGCGGACTGGCGGCTGATGTACTCCTTAGGGGCCGCACCGCCCGCCTTTGGGCCAGCCCGGGAAGGTAGAGCCGTCCAGTCCTCGTAGCTGGACGGGACTGGTTGAGGAGCTGTCCCTCAACCCTGAAGTGGTGGGAGCTCACGCCCCCACAGATTTCGCAGGCGGGCACCGTTTCCCGCCCCACCCCCCACCCCACGCCGAACCACCTGAGACAGTGCGAGGAACAAGCGGCCGCCCCGCGCCTCGTCGGGCCAGCAACCTTCGCGAGGGCATAGGCTCCAGGGTGGCAGGGCTGCTTCAGCCATTGGATACGGACCCCCTTCCCGCGCGAGATGGGTTCAGGGCAGCAGTCGTGACACTTTCACTTCTTTGGGCGCAGGGTGTGGGAGGCCTCAGCACGGGCAGCCCCGAGATCCGGGGGGGGCGTCTTAGTGCTCGGTGTCCTCAGCTCGGGTCGAGTGGGAAAGGGAGCGGTGACGGCCAGAATCCGATTGCGGATGGCGTTGGCCTAATCCTCAAGCTCCAAAGAGACAGTGTTTCCGCTTCTGGAACGTGGGCCGATGCAGAGAAGTCATTGGCAAGCGTGTCAGCGGCCTCGTTGACCGCCGAACGTTTCAAAACCTCACACCTAGCCGACAGCTCTCCACCTTTGATTCTCTGGCGCGGGCTAGGGAGGGCTCCTCCTCACCTCCCCGTCTTATGAGGGATATCCTGTTCCATGAGCGGATCATTCCCAACATAGCACGTTTGCATCCCAAGGCGAGGGTGTTTGTTGTACGTTCCCTCAGGCGCGTCTCCGCCAATCCAGATCCTGCCTCTGCGGAGCATGGGTCCCAAAACGGGATGAGCGAATGTGGTAGGAGGCGGTGGCTCGGGGGGGATGGCGGGATCTTTGCTCACTTGCAGGTCGTCCGCGGGCTCCGAGCGTTTGGCCCAAGGCGCTGGAATCAGTCCGCAGAGCCAGTAGCAAGGTTGTGCACAATGTATCCTGCTCTAGTTTGGTTGCAAAGGTTGCTGTTCGCCTTGCAGCCTTTTCCAGTGATCATTGCGCACTAACGGGGAGGAGACGAGCAGGTCCAGCCACGTCTGTATCGCGCTCAGGGGGAGGGCCCCGCCTGGGTGTCTATCTCCGTAGTCTGAGCGAAGGACAGTCATGAGGCAACTGTCCATCGCCTTGAGGGTCACAAAACGTCCGCGCACTCTGCGAAAGAGTTGCAAGGGCATGGCGTCCAATGGAAGGACCTTCGCGCGGTAGCCCACCCTGGAGAAAAAATCCCTGTCGTGGCCACACGACGGGCAGCTCGCGACCCCGCGGCTCATCCCTTGCGTCTCCAAAGTTTGGCGGCCTGGAGTTATCCGAGTCGCGCCGTGGTGCGATTTCAGAACTTGTGAAAGAGCCGACGGTGGCCACGCTCGATGTCGAAGTCGGTGCCTGCACCCTCACGTTTAGCCTGATGTCCCGATTGCGAAGCTCTGCAGTGAGAGGGACCGGTCGCATGCAATGACAGTCGACTCGGGGGAAATCTTGAGTCCGTCGGCCTGGAGGTCAGCGGCAAATTGCACCGCGGCCTCAGCCCCCGCCTTCCAGCCGAAACGGTCCGCGAAAACGTCTATCTCGTGAGCCGCTTGCCATTGTGCCTCTGTCACGCCCACTACGCGGGAGTGCCCGGGGCTGTGTCGTGACTCTGGTCGGCGGTGGTGAAGGTGAAGCCGTCTCGAAATTTTGTCCTTGCAAGCCGGCCCCCACATGGTGGCATTGCTGAAGTAGAGGTGTAGCTTCCCTTTCCTGACCCTGCCTGCTACCTTGGCACGACCACCTCGAGCTCAACGGTAGCGTCCATGGGCCCCCGCGCTTGCTGCTCCACCGTCGGGGGCTGCGTCTCGCCCGTCGGCGGCCCCGACGCGAGCCTCGCCAGGATCAGGGGCAACGGCCACCCGCGCGTCCGCGGCCCGGATCGATCGTCGAGTGCATCGGCCTCCTCGGGCCACGGCGCTTGCTGCTCCACCGTCGGGGGCTGCGTTCCGCCCGTCGGTGGCCCCGACGGGAGCCTCGCCAGCATCAGGGGCGTTGGCCGCCCGCGCGTCCGCGGCCCTGATCGACTGGTGAGTGCAAGGGCCTCCGCGGGTCAGGGCGCATGCTGCTGCGCCGTCGGGGGCTGCTGTCCTCCCGCCCGTTATCGCCTCCGAGGCCACCAGGTGTTCCCCTCCCAGGAGCTTCTAGGGATCGGTGGTCTCCGATACCACCAGGTGTTCGAGGGGGGGGGCTTCCTGGGATCGGCTACTGGGGTCGGCAGCAGCAGTCGGATCAGCCAACCCACCTCCTTGGAAATCTTGGAAATAGCACTGCTGGATACCAAACCTCTCTCGACTTGGTCACCGATACCACCATCTGTTCTCCTCAAGGGGGCTTCCTGGGATTGGTGCCCTCCATTAACACCAGGTGTTCCCATTCGCGGGGCTTCCCGGGGTCGATCACAGGGGGCTTGCGGCAGCAGTCATTCCACCCAATCCGCATTTGAAAATAGTGGAAATAATACCCATCCAAGTGCCATCGTTGGGGAAGTCCTCAGTGGCAGCTGACCACGCGATGGGGACCGCACAAGGTTGACTAGGACGACACTGGTGTAGCGTCTGCATCTGCCCTGCGCTGGCGCGCCCTCGAGAGCTTCGTCAAGCTCCCGCTGGGCATCATCGTCATCATCAGCGCCATCAGCAGTAGCAGCGGCGTCCTGGGATGGGTTGCTGGGCTCATCGGCTGCCTAGGGGGGCCTCCCCGCGGCTGGGGGAGCAGTGCCGCTGGATGCCGTTGCAGCAGGAGCTGGTGCTGCTGGCGGCGGCGCGTCACCATCGCGCATACGTTTCCCGAAAGTCTCCAGTAGGACCCTGTTCTGGTCCATCTGTTCCTTCTGCGCCTTGAGCGCCTCAGCGCCTGGGCCGAAGTGGGTGCGGACGGCTCTCTGTAGAGACTCTTCCACATCCGTCTTGAGCTCGTCGGACTGAGCCTTCTGGTCAGGTGTGGCATCGAGGCCATCCAGGTCGAAGACCGGGCCGTCCTCGATGCTGAAGCCCGTCTGTTCGCCGCTCTGGATGAGGGCAGAGAGGCTGATGCGGCCGCCTCTGGACTCGTGGGGGTCGGCAGTTGCCTCCGTGCTGCCGGCCAGCGCCCGCTCCTCGGCCGCCATCCTGCCCTCCGCCAGGACGAGCACCTCGGCGGCGCCGTCGACCTCGGCCTGACAGTCGGCCAGCCACACCTGAGCGTCGGCCAGCTGCTTCGCGGCCTTCTCGAGAGCACGCCGAGTTCGCGCTCAGAGGCGGCCGCCTGCTGGATGTCCTCCTCCAGGAGTGCGGGGCGCTCCACTGGTCGGGACTGGGCGAAGGCCGTCTCGAGCTGCTGGAGCGCGCGACGCGGTACCTCAGACTGCGGGCTGGTGTTCGATGTGCCAGGGTGCATTGTAGTCTCTTGATTTCGAGCTGCCGGTCCACCACGACGAGGAAGGCGACCATCAGCCATCGCGCGCCCAGACACCTCGTGTTGGAGGTGAAGGGGAGCAGGCTGGCCGAATCGAGTGCTTGCAACGGAATCAGGCCTGGCGGTTCCTGTAACGTCCATTGGCAGTTGCACCGCTTGCACTTGGCATAGCCGTGGGCGAACGAGAACTTCGGCACTGGCGCCCTGGTGCGGCGACGCTTGGGTGACATGGCTGAGTGATGTGGGCCTTTCGATGACCCTGAGAAAC